TAACCAAGTACAACGAGAGAAATCATCAATAAAAGTAACAAAATATTGAAAACCTAAATTAGACTTAACACGACTCGGGTCCCCAAATGTCGAGTGAACTAAGGCAAAGGGGGATGAAGCACGCTGGGAAACACTACGAGAAAAGGAAGTACGACTATGTTTGCCTAACCGACGGGACTCACACACCAAATTGGACAAGCTGGGATAAGCTGGGAACAAGTTGCTTGTAATTTGCGCAGACTAGGGTGACCAAGTCGAGCATGAAGGAGAGAAGGAGACTCCATAACCGTGCCAACATGTGGAGAAGGTTGAAGATAATAAAGTCCATGTGACTCACATCCGGTGCCAATCACTCTTTGCGAGCTCCGGTCCCGTAAGGAAACGAAGTTTTGGTAAAAGAGATAACACAATCAAGAGATCGAGTTAGACGGCTAATGGATAATAAGTTAAAGGGGGACCAGGTACATACAAAACATTATCAATGGACAACGAGGGAAAAAGAGTAACCGTTCCAACACCATGAGCTAAAGTTGTAGACCCATTAGCCATTGTAACGAGAGGGTAAATTATGAGAAGAAGTGAAAGAGGAAAATAAGGATTTGTTACCGAGTGATGTGATCGGTGGCGCTGAGTCAAGAACCCAAGGGCCAATAGAAGAAGAGTGAGTCGGACCGAGCAAAAGATGTACCTGTGTGGGCAACGAAGTAGTGGAAGCTGGAGGGCTTTCGATCCTCATACCATTGAAGAAAATCATTGAAGATAGCGGATTTGTCCGAAGGTACAGACGAAGGAGGATCCACAGCGAGAGGATTGTGCGGAAGAATCGGTCCGAGCAAGCTGCAGCGGATCGGCGAGGATAACCATGTAAAGCATAACATTTGTCAATTTTGTGGCCTAGTTTGCCACAATGGTCACACTTGACACGCCCTTTGCCTGGCTTGTGAGAGCGATTACGATCATCACGGTGAGAGGCCAAGGCGAGATGAATCATTAGAAACTACGGGGGAATATTGAGAGGTTTACATGGCACCCGCAAAAGGGAGGAACTGGTAGCGGTAAAGCTGGGTGTAACAGGGGAACCCAAAATCCGGTCACGAACAGGGGCATATTTATCGGCAAGTCAGTGTAACATCAAAACCATGAAAAACTTTGATCGTTGCTCTAATTCTTGGGCAGGAGTCGAGGCGGGGGTAATAACTCATTAAATTCATGGAGAAGAGCATGGATCTTACCCACATAATCCGCCACAGGATCCTTATCTCGAGGAGCAATAACATCAAGAAGATTGTAACAAACACCATAAAGACGTTGAGTGTCATTGGTGTATAATAATTTGGCTTGTTCCCAAACGTCATAACATGTGCCATACGATCGAAAAATTTGTTTTAAAGAAGATTGGATGGTATTCTTGAGAACCATACATATATGAGCATCAACTTTCTTCCAACGGACACGATCATTGGAAGGAACATCATCTACCTTGGTAGTAAGATGATCAACATACCCACGACTCTCAAGCCAAAGTCTAATATCAGATGCCCAAGTTGCATAATTCGTACCATCTAATTTATCAATGGGTAAATTCACATTGACATAATTAGTAAAAACAGATTGCTCGGACCCACCGGAGCCGACGGAGGTAACTTCAGAATTGGAAGTGGCAGCGGAAGATGCCATGGAGGAAGAGAGAGAAAAACCCTAAAACACCAAAGAGGTCCGATTGGAGCAGCGAGGACAGATCCAGAGAGAGGAGAAGGAGGCGACGCCGGCGCAAAGATCGGCGGCCTGAACGGCGGCGAGACACGCCGCCACGCGCGGCGGAACGGGAGAAGGTGGCGCGGCTTCGGGAGGCGCATGAGGGAGTGTGGCTGCTCCGATGACCGCGAAACTTCCACGGTGGAGGTCGCACGGAGGAGGCGAGCAAAACCCTGTGCTCGGCGGTCCGAACTGCTACTCTGGCGACGGCGGCGGCGGACGGCGGTGGCGACGGTGGCGGCGATGGAGGCGGCGACAGCTGCAGGTTCAGTGGCAGAGCCGAAAAAAAATCCCAAGAGACCTTAAGCTCTTGATACCATGTTGAATATAGGGAAAAACTGTATAGGGTTAATTTCCCTTATATATTTACCACACATAGGGCAGTGTATTTATAATAAAGAAAGGTACTCCTCAAAAGAGTAACAGAATACAAATAGGGTAAATAAAAAGATATTATTTGATATTGTGATTAACAATATCTAACAATATCTCAACAATATCAAACAATATCAACTAATATCTAATCATATCTAACAGTATGCATAGAGAAATATTCTCTCACTGAATTGATTCAAATATTAGAGGGTACAACTTCTATTCATGCAGATCAAATTTGTATACAAATAGGGAAAATAAATCACATGTTAACCAGAAACAAAGTTCCCATACATAAGGAGAAAAAGGAAACAAAATAACATAGAGATCATTCTGAAATAAATCTGATCCAATTCAAATTTATTCCCCTTAACTTGATCCTACAAATCCGGACACATATCATTCCTAATATATCAATATCTGTCAACATTTTGCTGACTCTGTTAAATTGTCAACAATTCACTGACTGGTTGTGACAAAAGGAATGCAAATTTGACAAGTGCAGTAGTAATAACTTGCCTATACCAAAATATTTGGTCTTGTTATGTCGATTGTAAATGATGTCAAGGTTTTACTGCAGTCCACAGCTATAATATTATGGTTTCGGAGGTCTTAACAATCACATTTTGACTACAATTATGTCCACATCACTAGATTTTGTCTGCAACTTAAGGTCTATGCAACAACTACAATTTAAAACCTTGACCATTCGGTTTTTCCCCCCCTTTAGGACAGCTTCACAAGAGTCTCATGTTTCACTCCCAATCAAGATATATTTCATTCATAGTAACTCAATCCTTACACCATGACTTGAAACTCAACCTTTGCATTTCTCTTATTACAACGTTGAGTTTCTCGCTTATATCCTTGTAACTTGATATTCACCCAAAAACATGTAGGAACTTGACTACCTGAGTTTGAGTTTCTAATTTCCATCTAATTGTAGGGAACAATTTTCCCTTAAGGAAGCAAGAAAATTGTGAGAAATATGAAAAGAAAGAAAAGTAAAATATCCTTTTGGATCCTCTAAGATATTTTTTATTATTTACATCACTCCTCAAGTTGGTAAATGAATATGGTCATTCCACTTATCCTATAAGTACCTAGAATCCACTAGTGGAAAGACTCTTAGGAAGAACATCTACTTGGAGTTCATGTAGGAACATGTATTAACTTTTTTTTTATTAAGTGTTTGTCAATCTCAATGTATGTAGACCGGTCGTGCTGAATTGATTGTGGGCAAAACAAATGGCTAAATTAAAGAAAGATGTTAGCGAGACACTAGTTAGAAAATTCTGCACAACAAGATAAGTTGGACTTTCAACTATGTGCCTTATTGTGGCAATATGTGGAATAATCTCATACTTGTTTCTCGAGAAGTCTAGTGTGGTTTGTAAATTGCACCTCTCTATGATCTCAAACAATTTCCATGAGCTTGGATTGGAAAATTTCGTCTTATTACTCAAACTTTTGCTTGAAATGCACTGTGGCAGGTCATTAAATATTTTATTGTCATACCTTCCGAGGAAAATGTATTTATTTAAATGTGTATGTTGTTGATGTAGTTATTACAAGGAATGATAATGCAAAAATCTCTCAATTAAATGAACATTTGAGCAATCATTTCCAAACCAAAGATATTGACAATCTCAATTACTTTCTAGACATTATAGTGACTCTATCAAAGGGTATCGTAACTTCTCTAAAGAAATATGCTCTAAACATCCTGAAAGAGATAGGTATGATTGATTGTAGACTAATTGATAGTCTTGTGGATCCAAATCAGAAATTAATGGAAGAATAGACTAGACCTTTCTCTGACCCAAAAAGATGTTGAAGGCTTGTTGGAAAACATTTTTATCTTCCTATTACTAGATTTGTTGGTGTTGTTAGTCAATTTATCCAGATGGCTTGTGTTTTTCATTGGGATATCATTTGTATCCTAAGATACCTCAAAAAGGCTCTAGGCAAGGTCTATTATATGAAGATAATGTTAATATTGAGATCTCTAGGTATTGTGATACTAATTAGGCAAAATCTCCTATGGACAAATGCTCTACTACATGATATTGTATTTTTATTGGATGAATATTATTTTTTTTGCAAAAGCTAAAAACATAATGTAGTCGCCCGATCAAGTGTTGAAGCTCAATATAGGATAATGACATCTCCACTTGTGAATTTGTGTGAATAAAACAATTTCTTCAAGAACTCAAATTTTGTGAAATTCAATAAATGAAGATGCATTTTCTCCACATTACCTCTAATCCTTTGTTCTATGAGAAAATCAAACACCGAAATTGGCTGATGTTTCATTCTAGAAAAGTTGTCAAAAGGAAATTTGTAGTGAGTTTGTCATATTTAATAATCAACTTCCAAATGTATTAACAAACTCATTGAGAAAACCTCATATGTAATTTATGTTTCAAGCTTGGTACATACAATTTATGTTTCAGCTTGAGAGGGAGTGTTAGAATAAATTTTGTTTAAAAAATATTTTTTACTACACCTGTCTATACCTAGAGGTGCCTTTACTTGTTTTACACTCTTTTCACTCAGTGATATCTCTCCCTTTTCTTCTCATATATAAATAACAAAACCGAAGAGAGAATGATTAAAGTCTCTTAAATATGTTTTCTCTCTTTTATTTATCCCAAGTCAACCAAAGGAAAAAAAAAACTCTAAAATAGACTTGGTTTAACCTTTGTAGTGTTCTCTCCCCTTTAGACTTTATTGAAGCAATACAAGATAATAAAATAATTTCTAATTATATTTGTTTTTGTTAACTCCGGTATGAATTATACAAGATGCTCTGTTTATTGTTTTTTTTATACAAAGTTTATGAACATACGTTTCTGTAGTCTAGCCAAATGCATGTATGCTCTGTCCTTAGCCTTTGCCTTGTTGAATGTACAGAGCATCTTGTTCAAGACCTGGAAATATCTTCTGACCTATTATGTTAATCTTTTTTCTCCTTTCATGCATCAGACATGCTTACAAAAGTATACATTTTGACTCCTATTTACAGGTCCATGACCCTTGCTGAAAAACAACAGCTACAGAGTTCAATTCAGAAGCTATCAGCAAGAAATCTTGATCGTGTAGTGGAGTTAATTTGTCGAAATAGGCCAGTAGCAGAACGAAGCTGTGACAAAATATTTGTTGATTTGGAAACAGAGGTAGCTAATATGGTGTATATAATGTAAAGTTAATTATTATCATCTTATCTGTGTACTAAGCTCTATGGTTACAGACTTGATCAGCACTATACGATGCTTTCCTTGTTTATTTTCTTCAGGATAATGCTACACTCTGGAGACTGCATTACTATGTTGAAGCTGTTGAGAAAGCCAAAACTCTTTCTTGTGGTAGAGTGGACTAGTTTTCTAAATGCTTTTGAAAGCCGAGCCTTATTGATAGTTCATCAGAACTCAAATTTTCTGATCTTCCTAATTCTAGAGTGTGCAGATTTTTGAACTCTTACCTCTGTTGCGACAGGGAGGGATGTAAATGCTTTACCTGAAGATTATAACATTTAGTGTTTTTTCCCCTCTTGACACGTATATCTTGAGAAAAACGTGATTGTCCCACAATGTTGTAGGATGTATTCTTGAGGCAGAATTGTATCTTGTATAGATAGCAAAACATTATGTGAGAAATCCTTCAATACAAGAACGATATCCTCTATATTTTCCAACAACTGCTTACTTTCACTTTTGATTCTTATCTGTTGTCGTTATCGATGAAAAATGTAGATTATATATAAAAGAAATAAATTATTGATATGATATAAAAATCGACTCGGCTGATATGAAGAGAGGTTGGTCGATTAATCAATGAAATTGATTTTAAAAAATTGCTGAATATGAAAGTAAAGTACCGAGAAATGGAATATAGACCAAAACAAACAAAAAATTGGTGATGAGTGAACCAAACTTGAATATATACTGTGTACGATCCAAGAGTGATTAAGACTAAAATTATTTAAAAGTAATTATGGTTGAAATGATTGAAGAAGAGGTTAAGAAGCTGATAGGTGTTTGTGTTTCTAATTAAGAAAACTTAAGGATGTATATGAATACGAAGATGATTAATTGAATTACCTAATTGTAAAGGTTCATTTTACAAAAAATTCAAGAAAGGGAGAAGAGGATTCGATTTAAGCAAAATATAGACTACTATAGAAACAAGTAAAAAGTGTGGGAATTAGATGAACAAGAATATAAAGAATTTGAAATAAAAATAAGAGATGATGAGGGGAAAGGATATGGAAGGGAGGGTGGTGGCATGACACCATAACCCAAAATATATGGGGATTGTTACCTGGTCAACTAAGGTTCAAACTAAGACTAAAAAAAATAATATTTAGGAAAAAAACACTTAAAGTACTCAAATTTATATTCATAAATGTTCAACCCTTTATAAGAGTAGGAGAGGTTCATTTATATAGCACGGGTGAGGAACCTAAAAGAAAATATAAATTTATAGAAAGTAAGTCATAAAAGGGTTGCACCCTTGTCTTGGAGATAAGGAGCACACCCTCTTACTTCTATAAGTTCAAAGGCAACCTAATTTGACTTTATGGGTCATTCCAAGGTAAAGAGACAAGATTCTAAGGCCCCTTTCCTCTAAAAAGGTGATAAACATGAGACAAAGAGTAATTAAGAGCTTTCCATAAGTTCCAAGCCTCCAATCCTAAGACATTTTTTCTACAGTATCACGTATTCGTTTTTTAATTACTCAAATAGCATACTGTACGTTTTATTTACCTAGATAACACAATTTTTTTGTAAGTTGAGAATTCGATTTTCTGGAATACGAAACCTAAACGTAATTGTATTTGATAATTTTTTCAAACAATTTAGAATTTGATTTTTCGACAACCGAATTCTGAATAGTTTTCTTTTTATTTTGTTAAAAAAAAAACTAACTAATATATATATATATATATATATATATATATATATAATATGTTATAATATTTTATTTAACATTTATAGTTTTAAATTAGGTATTTAAAAAGATTTGTATATTTCTAAAATTAATAATATATTTAGATTTATTGTTGAAAGTAGTAAAATAATATTTTTAAAATATATTATTAAATATTATAGTTAAATTTATTTGTATGATTAAACTTTTTTTAATGTTTTGATTTATTTGATATTATAATTTTTTTAGAAATTAATAATAAATTAGAAGGATAATAAAAATCTTAAAAATTATATGTATATAAGAAGAAATAATATTTTGATGTAAAATTACATATATATATATATATATATATATATATATTCTAAAATATAATTTATAGTAATTACTATAATATAAAATATATATTCCAAAATATAACTTATTTTCATTTATATATATATTATAGAAATTAAAATAAATTCTATTTTAGAATATATATATATATATATATTAAATATAAATTATTTTCAAGTTGATAATTATTATTCTAATTTATGCAAATATATATATATATATATATATATATATAATTAATTTATAAGAGCGGTTAACATCTATTATAATTTATTCTAATTAATTATTCATATATGAGTCACTTTTAAGAACAGTTAACAATCTAACCGCTCTTAAAAGTAAAAATATAATAGTGGTTCCATGTTAACCGCTCTTAAAAGTGAAGATATAATAGCGGTTCCAAGTTAATCGCTCTTAAAAGTGAACATATAATAGTGGTTCTACGTTAACCGCTATTTAAAATATATTTTTAATAGGGGTTCAATCCAGAACCGCTATCTAAAGTCAGTTATTTGAAAATATAATCGATTATTGGAAAATTTAATCGATCATAACGGAGTAATTTAATCGAACATATAATAGCGGTTCCACGTTAACCGTTATCTAAAATATATTTTTAATAGCGGTTAAATTTAGAACCGCTTATCTAAAGTCAATTATTTGAAAATATAATCGATTATTGGAAAATTAATCGATCATAACGAAGTAATTAAAAAAGTAATTGATTTAGAATTCGATTTATTCGCAATCGAATCCTAAATAGATTTCAAATTAATCGAATTGCGAATGGATTCGATTGCGAATAAATCGAATTCTAAATCAATTACTTTTTTAATTACTCGATTATGATCGATTAAATTTTCCAATAATCGATTATATTTTCAAATAATTGACTTTAGATAGCGGTTCTAGATATAACCGCTATTAAAAATATATTTTAGATAGCGGTTAACGTGGAACCTCTATTATATGTTAGATTAAATTACTCAGTTATGATCGATTAAATTTTCCAATAATCGATTATATTTTCAAATAATTGACTTTAGATAGCGGTTCTAGATTTATCCGCTATTAAAAATATATTTTAGATAGTGGTTATCGTGGAACCGCTATTATATGTTCACTTTTAAGAGCGGTTAACTTGGAACCGCTATTATATCTTCACTTTTAAGAGCGGTTAACTTTGAACCACTATTATATCTTCACTTTTAAGAGCGATTAACATGGAACCGCTTATTATATCTTCACTTTTAAGAGCAGTTAGATTGTTAACCACTCTTAAAAGTGACACATATATGAATAATTAATTAGAATAAATTATTATAAATGTTAACCGCTCTTATAAATTAATTATATATATATATATATATATTTGCATAAATTAGAATAATAATTATCAACTTGAAAATAATTTATATTTATATATATATATATATATATATATATATATATATAGATTCTAATATAGAATTTATTTTAATTTCTATAATATATATATATATAAATGAAAATAAGTTATATTTTGGAATATATATTTTATATTATAGTAATTACTATAAATTATATTTTAGAATTATATATATATATATATATATATGTAATTTTACATCAAAATATTATTTCTTCTTATATACATATAATTTTTAAGATTTTTATTATCCTCCTAATTTATTATTAATTTCTAAAAAAATTTTAATATCAAATAAATCAAAAAATTAAAAAAAGTTTAATCATACAAATAAATTTAACTATAATATTTAATAATATATTTTAAAAATATTATTTTACTACTTTCAACAATAAATCTAAATATATTATTAATTTTAGAAATATAAAAATCTTTTTAAATACCTAATTTTAAATTATAAATGTTAAATAAAATATTATAACATATTATATATATATATATATATATATTAGTTTTTTTTCTTAACAAAATAAAAAGAAAACTATTCAGAATTCGGTTGTCAAAAATCGAATTCTAAATTGTTTGAAAAAATTATCAAATACAATTACGTTTAGGTTTCGTATTTCAGAAAATCGAATTATCAACTTACAAAAAAACACTGTGCTATCTAGGTAAATAAAACGTACATTATGCTATTTGAGTAATTAAAAAACGAATATGTGTTACTGTAGAAAAAATCTCTCAATCCTAAAGGTCTCAACATCAAAAGATAATTGTCCAAGACAAAACCTACAAAACAAAAGAAACAACATAAGTCGAAAAAAACTAATAAAAAGGAGAAATGTTAAATAAATTAAAGGAAATGAGTAAAAAAGGAGGTTTTTAGTCTTAGATAGGTCTTCTTCTCTCTCCTCTTTAAAGATTAATGAACTCATTGTAGGATGATTGAGAATTTGCTAAACAAACATTGCAATACAAATAGTAATGATGAAATAACATAGATTATAGAAGATGTGGTAAATCAAATAATAGTAGATACTAAGGTATAAACAGGGGGTTCAATGTAATTGTTTTTGTGTAAGCATACTTCCATTTACTGAATTCGGTTTTGTTTATGTATTTCCACCAATTTTTTTTTGTTGCTTTTATTTAAGTTTCTTGTTTTCTATTTGCTTTAGAATTTACTTCTCCATTTACTTTCTTGCATTGTTATTTGAACTAATAAAATCAATTTATATTTACGGTTTTTTTAATTATTTTTACTATATTCTTTTTTTTTTGGAAACTAATATATATTTAAGTTTGTGGAAGTTTTTGTCTTTTTTTTATTCTATTTTCTTGATATTTTCAAATTCAAGTTTATTTTTCAAAATCAAAATTCTAAGAGGTAACATATCTCAATACGTAATTTTCTGTGGAAAATTACAAAAAATACGTTAAGAATGTATGAGTGTTATGGTTACTTATTTAATTGTGAAAAAGTGTATTATTGATTAATATGTTCAAATAATAAATTTTATTTAAAATACATATTTTATATGATTAAGAGTGTTTAAATAATTAAGTGGTACTCTAAATTGAAAATATGAAACATTGCTACTATTAATTTATTAAATTTAATTTTACCCAACAAAAAAAATTTGGTATATTTGTTGGGATTGATATTGTTAAAATTTAAATTTTAGTAAATAGTCGTAAAATATTTAGATCAATTACTAATTATAACATGTCATGGAATATTTTAAGATAAAATACTAATTTAATTCATCAAATATCATGTTAGTTTTACAAAGAGAGAATCCAAATAGAGTTGTAAAAACTCTTCCTAATATTTTTAAAAATAAAATAAGATAGACATTTGATTGTTTGTCTTATGAGTTGTTAGTTGAAGTTTTTTTTTCTCAATATGGTATAAAAAAAACGATTTTTACACAAAACTAGTAAATGTAAATGTGCAAGTTAAAGAGGATAGAAAACATTCTATTGATTCACTCAAGCAGAACTACAAATATATTTTAGACAGGCACTTAAAGATTACAAGTATATAATGTTACTTGCAGCAAATTTTTTAAAAGAAATTAATATTTTTTTTTATCATAAAGTGAATATTAACTTTCCAGACACATAAGTTCTCAAAGCAAGTAAACAAAAGTTTATATAATTAAGATATTACCACTAAATTCTTCATGAGATGAAAATTTTCACTTCTTGTGATAGATTTACAAAAAGAATGAATACTCTTTAAACAAAAAAAGTTTTGCTTACTCGAAAAGATTTTACAAGGTTTTCAATTTAGTAGAGTTTCATTTTTCACGTCAATAGTTTTTTCTTCGTTCAAATTTTCTTGGGAGCATTTCCTTATACAAGGTTTTGCATGAGATAGCCATTGTGAGATGTGAAGATTGTTATGACCATTTCTAACATATTTGCAACCTTTTCAGTGAACACCGATTTCTTGGAGTCGAGTGATAAACTTTCAATATTTAAATAAGATGGGGGTGAACAGAAAAATGTTAGCAATACAATATAATGTCTTGAGATTTGAAGTTGAAAATAGTGAGAATTATAACCATTTATGCTAAAAAAATGAAGTAAGAGGAAGTGTATAATAGCAGAATTTTACCTTGAGATTAGCCTAGTTCAAAGTCAGGGATGATGGATAGGCTTAAAATTCCTGTAAGCAATCACTGCATAAAAGGGATCTAACCCTGAAAGCCACCCAAAAAGCCTCATCATCCAACCAATCGATGACATGTTGTTTTGTTGAGAATTTGGAAGCTTTCGAAGTACTTCTGCTTCTGTGAAACCTTCGATGGCTTGGAAGTACTGAACCACAAGTTGTAGCCTGCTATAACCACTTCCTTCCCTCCATGCCCTTATGGCTTTCTCATAAAACATTCTGTGGCTAAAACTCACTATGAACACCCCTCCTGGCCTTAGAACCCTCAACACCTCTTCAAATACCTGCATATCTCTTTCTACTAAATCACTCATCATTCACATTAATTTATTCTATCTCACTTGTTTGGGTTAGACTATTCAATACTACTACAATTTCTGATAACACAAAAAAGAATTACTTGAAAAATAGGAAAAGCCTTAACAACGTTACACAGATACATGGCATGTGTAGAGAGAGTATCTAACCTTCTCTGGTTGTTGGAGATACTGCACACTAACTGTGCATAACACTGCATCAAAACTGCAGTTGTCAAATTCAAACTGTTGATCCTGGTTGAGATCCTTCACGACAAAACAATCCAACCTTGGATTTTTCAAAAGCTCTTGTGCATTCAACCCATGCCCCACAACCTTTTTGTATTTGACATCACTTGGTAGATGGCTAACCCAAGAACTCATGAGGTCAAGAATCTCCATCTCAGGTCTCAACCTCTCTCTGTAAAGATTGGTCAGTGTAGAAATGAAGGCATCGTCTACATGGGTCACAAACCGTGGATATGCATAGAACTCTCTATCTGGGTAAATGTTGAGCTTTGTTCTTCCTTCTTGGGTCAGAACAAGGCGCTTGATTTTGCCTCCCAAGGGAGGTTCATTGCTTTGTTTGCTTTCGTTTAAAGTGCTGACAATTTTTATCGAACCTCTGACATGAGATGCTGAGATGGGTAGCAGATTGGTTTGCATAGTTCGAAACAGGATTTGCTTTTCACTTTCCAACTTTGAAACACTCGTTCGTGAACATATCAGAAGTAAAACAACTCTTTTTGCAGTTAATGTTGTATATATTCTTGTGGTTAACATTCTTTTTACATTAAATTATCCTAACTTTGAGTTTTGTCTTTTTTTCTTTTTTTCAAATTACAATGATTAATTTTTGAAAATACATTACACATATTCTTGTGGATAAGTAACCCATGGTTGTGAGAGTTTCAGAGTTTTTGGGCCAAAATGAAATCCAAATTGCCTTTGTCGATTAGGTTTTCTTTTTCACTCTCTAAAATTTCGCATCTTCTTTTATAAAGAAAATAATTTAGAATTAAAATTTTATATTTTAAATTACCTATTCAGAATTTACAAAGGGTGTTCCTTTTATTACAAATAGGTTCATTCAAAACGAAAAATTTTACCTTTGGAATTTACTTTTTCACAGTGAAAAGAGGTGCATGCTGATTTTTGTAAAAAATGTTTTTAAAAATGATACTTATGTTGTAATCCCATTTTGTATCTTTGATAATTGATCTATATTATGGAAACTAAATGTTAATTATTAGAACAGTATGTTTGGTTATGTCAAGAATTTAATTAAAATATATTCTTTAAATTTTGTTACCTTATGCTAATTAAGAAAGATCATATGTATAAGTAATGTGTGAAATTTTCAAGATCATGCATTAAGAAAGGAGATAAGATGATTCTTCCACAATAACTCTCAAGATATTCCAAATATTAATAAATAAAAAAACTATTTAAAATAAATTTTTTAACCAATTATGGAGATAATAAAATTCCACAAAATTAAAAAAGAAAAAACCAAAAATACAAGGGATATTTGTTGGTGATGAAGTGGTGAATTTCATCACCAACACTACCATATTTTCTTGTTTTGATCCAATATTGACCACTTCAATATTAGTTATTAGCTTGCAAAACACAATTTCAAGAGGGGTTGATCCTTTTGGATTCTTAGATGGAGTGAAATTCTCAAATTTAGTAGTAAAAAAAACATTGCAAAATGAAACTTTAAAGGCTTTTATGGACTCAAGAAAAGGATAGAAGATGGAAATTATGGCCATTTAATATTGTTTTATCAAGTTATGGTGACCTCATTTCTAGCATCACATTCAAATTCTGATTAAACATGATTTTAGACAAATGTAATAAGTTTTATTTCAAGTGATTTTAGATACAGAATTAGGATAGAAATAAGAAAAGGAGAGGGAGGAGGAGAAGTAGGAAAGGAAGGAAGAAAAAACATATGTGTGGGATCGAACAATAATTTTATTTAAAAACAAAACTAAACCATTCTATAAATTACTACAACAAATACAACTATTATTTTATATTCCATTAATTCTTTGAAAATATTTAAAAATAAATAAAATTTTCAATGACATTTTTGTTCTCTTTCTCTTTCTCTTTCTATTAATTATCAAATAATGATAATAATTTTTTCTTATATATCTTTTTATTGATTATAACAGTATATTTAAGTTTAGTTTTAAATCCTTTAAACTATAAAAGACGTACGATTCATTTTCTTCTATTTTTTAAAGATGACATAATTTTTAATAAAAATAGTGTATTTAAACTAAATTTAAAAAAATAATTAAATTTGTTTTAAGCCCAACTTTCTTATGTAATTTTTGTTGAAGTAAAGCTTTCATTGTAATCAAACTTTACTATTTCTGCTCATTCCTCTACTTTTCAGGGGAAACTTTTTCTTCTTAAAGTTTTATCATAAAATTATAAAATAACAAAAGATGGTTGAGTTTTATTTATTTTTTTATATTAACATGATGAAATTTCGATAATCATAAATATAAGTTTTGAATTTTATAGTAATGAATGAAGTAGTGAAATGGATTATACTCTTTTAAAATCAATAGTCTCAAAGAAAGCACATAATTTAAATTAAAAATTATAGAAAATTTCCAACTAAAAGAAAGTCGTACATGATTTTTTGTTAAGATATTTAAATTATATTTTCACCGAAAATACAAATGTGAAGGATATTTCAAGTACTACATTGAGGAAAATAAACGATAATATTTTTCAAATGCATCCCCCAAAGCTGCTTGTACAAAACTTATAAATGTAAAGGCAATTACTTATACATCCCCCAAAGCTGCTTGTACAAAAAGAGTTCTCATACACATAAAATAGAAAAATAAAAACAGGACTCGGCACATACCGAAAACTCAAAGTTTTGCCTAGATGACACATAAAACTATGACAATATAAACTGTAACAACAATTGTAACTATTGTAACTAGGATCACATTCACTTGCAGAGACACCAAAATGTTTTCACTTCTTCTGTGCAGCCTTGGTACCCTTGGCTCCAGTGGGGTCCTTCTTCTCCACACTCTTGATAACTCCCACAGCCACAGTTTGTCGCATGTCCCTCACAGCAAAACGACCAAGAGGAGGATACTCGGAGAAAGTTTCAACGACCATGGGCTTGGTAGGAATCATCTTAACAAATCCTGCATCTCCATTTTTCAAAAACTTGGGCTCCTTCTCAAGCTCTTTACCAGATCGCCTATCAATCTTAGTCACAAGTTCTGCAAACTTGACAGCAATGTGAGAAGTGTGGCAGTCAAGCACAGGAGCAAAACCATTTCCAATCTGACCGGGATGGTTCATTATAATGACTTGGGATGTGAAGTTGGCAGCCTCCTTGGCAGGATCATCCTTGGTGTTTGAGGCAACAAAACCACGCTTGAGATCCTTGACTGCAACATTCTTCACATTAAATCCCACATTGTCACCAGGTAGTGCCTCTTGGAGAGCTTCATGGTGCATCTCCACAGACTTAACTTCGGTTGTCAGACCAGTTGGAGCAAAAGTCACAACCATACCAGGCTTCAAGACACCAGTTTCAACACGACCCAATGGAACAGTTCCAATACCACCAATCTTGTAGACATCCTGCAAAGGAAGTCTCAGAGGCTTGTGTGATGGTCTCTTAGGCTCATTGATCTGGTCAAGAGCCTCAAGAAGAGTTGGACCCTTGTACCAGTCAAGGTTGGTGGACCTCTCAATCATGTTGTCACCCTCAAAACCAGAGATGGGAACAAATGGAATTTTGTATGGGTTGTAACCAACCTTCTGCAAGTAGGAAGAAACTTCCTTCACAATTTCATCATACCTAGCCTTAGAGTACTTTGGAGTAGTGGCATCCATCTGTTAACAAATGTTTCATAATTTTGCAACATTAGCAAACAGCAACAAAATAAGATGCTCAAACATGCAGCAAGGTAAATATCAAAATACAAAACCAGAACTATACCTTATTACAGTAACAGATCATTTGCTTGACCCCAAGGGTGAAGGCAAGTAGAGCATGCTCCCGAGTCTGTCCATCTTTGGAAATACCAGCTTCAAAACCACCAGTTGCGGAGTCCATGATAAGGACAGCACAGTCCGCCTGGGAAGTTCCAGTAATCATGTTCTTGATAAAATCACGATGTCCTGGAGCATCAATAACAGTGCATCATGTATTTGGTGGTCTCAAACTTCCACAATGCAATGTCAATGGTAATTCCTCTCTCCCTCTCAGCCTTAAGCTTGTCAAGCACCCAGGCATATTTGAATGACCTCTTGTTCATTTCGGTAGCTTCTTTCTCAAACCTCTCAATAACACGCTTGTTAATACCTCCAAGCTTGTAAATCGAGTGGCCAGTGGTAGTTGACTTCCCAGAGTCGACATGGCCAATGACCACGATGTTAATGTGAACCTTCTCTTTTCCCATGTTATCTTTAAACTGCCACGCAAAATTCAAAGTCTTGTATAATAAGGAACCAAATATATATAATTTGTGATCCAGATAAATAAAATCAATCAACATTAAAAAAATCCATTACAGAAAACAGACAAGCAACATTGAAAAACAACTTTCTAAGAATTGCCAAATACTTCACTATCATTCAGCATTGTATTTACTTTGATACAGTAGTAATACACTACCATTTGCATGCACTTGATACAAGAAAATTCAGCAATTATGTCAGCACATATTACTAGAGAGATATGATAAATAGCTGTCTATTTTAAATTTCAAAGATCTCACCGTATTAGTAGAATAAAAATAAAAACAGAACAAACTAAACAATATTTTGCATGATATTTTCAAAACAAAATATTGAGTAAAAAGAGAAAATTTACGTTATTAAAATAGAAACTTATTAGTGTTAGTATTTATGTTTAAGTTTTGCAGTTTATTTGTTCTGTTTTTTTTATGGCATAATAATCGGTCCTATGTTGACCGAAAACCCAGGGTTATGGAGGCTAAATATTAGCCACTTTGTTTGCTGCAAACTGCCCATAGATCACGGCAGATCATGGAAGCAGTTATTTTACAAATCTATTTAATAAAGAAACAGCCCTGATAATTCATATCAGGGGATTCAGATTAACAAAAGCGTGAGTGTGCATACCTGAGAGTTTACAATTGGTATCAGAGCTCTTTCACAGGGGCCTGAACCAAGAAAAAGAGAGAGACTTTTTCGTAAGTGTGGGAAAGAGAAAAACACTAAGAGTGATCTGCTTTTCTGAGTTGGGTTAGATAAGAGTGATATATTGAGTTCTTCTAGACGCATTATTTGAGATGGCTGAATCCAGTAAATACGTCCAACCTGCCATTCCAAAGTTTGATGGCCATTATGATCATTGGGCAAAGCTAATGGAGAATTTCCTACGCTCCAAGGAGTATTGGAGTTTGGTTGAAAAGGGTGTTGATGCAATTTCAGACAAAGCTAGTGAAGCAGAATTTAAACAACTGGAAGAGCAACAACTTAAGGATTTGAAGGTGAAAAATTATCTCTATCAATCTATTGACAGAGAGATTTTAGATACAATTCTAAATGATGAGACCTCCAAAAATATATGGGATTCCATGAAGCAAAAGTTTCAGGGATCCACACGAGTGAAACGTGCTCAATTGCAAACTTTCCGCAAAGACTTTGAGACACTACAAATGAAGGAAGGAGAATCAGTGACTTCATACTTTGGTCGCACCTTAATAATAGCCAAAGGAATGAAAGCAGTGGGAGAACAGATGCAGGAAAGCGTCATAACTGCAAAAATACTACGGTCTATGACGGCTAAATTCGATTATGTAGTGTGTTCAATTGAAGAATCCAACAACATGGAGACCATGACTATAGATGAGTTGCAAAGCAGTCTGGTGGTGCATGAGCAGAGAATGACACACTCAATTGAAGAAGAACAGGTTATGCAAACAATAGTAGATGGAAGAGGACGCGGGAGAGGGAGAACGCAGGGAGCTTTTCGTGGCAGAGGAAGGGGAAGACAAACGTTTTCCAAGAATGAGATCGAATGCTTCAAGTGTCATAAACTTGGACACTTTCAATGGGAATGTCCTATGTGGGAAAAGAGAGTCAATTATGCAGAAATTGAAAATAAAGAGGAACCAGAGGAGGAGATTTTACTGATGGCTCTCACAGAAACTAATGAAGGGGAGAAAAAGGAGTGGTTCTTAGATTCTGGATGTAGCAACCACATGAGTGGAAACAAAGGATGGTTTACCGAATTAGATGAGAATTTTCGAGGCAAAGTGAAGCTGGGAAACGACACACACATAGCTGTAATGGGGAAAGGAAGCATTCGAATGAAGGTGAATGGCTTAATACATGTTATCACACATGTATACTATGTCCCCGAACTCAAAAATAACTTATTGAGCATTGGACGACTGCAACAAAAGGGACTAAGTATCGAATTCAGAATAATGCTTGCACTATTATGCATCCGCAGAAAGGAGTAATATGTGAGGTTCAAATGAATGCTAGCAGGATGTTTGTGCTAACAGCAACCATGGAAGCAGATGCGTGTCTCCAGGTGAATGCAGAAAACAATGCTCAACTGTGGCACAACAGGCTCGGACATCTAAGCTATGATGGTCTAAACACCCTCGCCTCTAAACAAATGGTAACAGGTTTGCCTCAGATTACAGCTTCAAAAGGTATATGCGCACAATGCATGGCAGGAAAACAACACAGAAACACCATGTCCAAGACAAGTGCTTGGAGAGCAACCAAGAAACTGCAGCTGATACATGCAGACTTATGCGGACCAATTTCACCAACTTCGAGCAGCAACAAGAGGTATTTTCTAAGTTTTATTGATGATCTTTCAAGAAAAACTTGGATATACTTCTTGAGCGAGAAGTCTGAAACATTTTCGGTGTTCAAAAGCTTTAAGACATTGGTTGAGAAGGAAGTGGGAGAAAACATAATCTGTCTAAGAACAGATAGAGGAGGAGAATTCTTGTCTAAAGAATTTGAAGTTTTCTGTAGAAATCAAGGAATTAAAAGACAACTGACTGCTGCTTATACGCCTCAACAGAATGGAGTTGCTGAAAGGAAGAACAGAACAATTATGAACATGGTCCGCACTATGCTGATTGGAAGGCAGGTTCCAAAAATCTTCTGGCCAGAAGCAACAAAATGGTGTGTACATATTCTAAATAGGAGTCCTACTGCTGCTGTACAAGATAAAACTCCAGAGGAAGCATGGAGTGGAGTAAAACCATCTGTTGGTTATTTTCGCGTGTTCGGGTGTTTAGCTCATGTTCATACACCAGATCAGCAACGAGTTAAACTGGATAACAAAAGCAAACAGTGTGTCCTGTTCGGAGTCAGCAATGAATCCAAGGCCTATAGACTGTTTGATCCAATCAACAAGAAAATAATAATCAGCAGGGATGTTGTGTTTGAAGAGGATAAAAGCTGGCAGTGGGAGCAGAATGAAGCAGTGAGCCATCAAGAAACTGATGAGACAGAAGATGAAGACAGTGACACACAATCTGAAATAGAGGAACAACAATCGGCAGCAGAACCAACGCACAGAAACGAAACTCCCACCCAAACCAGTGAGATTCCAACTGCAGGGAGGGCAAAAAGAAATAGAAGGAAACCTGTGTGGATGGCAGATTATGAAGAAGGAGGAAGTATACAGGGTGACAGCAACACCAGTGCCATGCTGGTTGCAGACACAGATCCAATAACCTTTGAAGAAGCTCGTAAGCACAAGAAATGGAGAGAAGCGATGGCTAAAGAGATAGAGGCTATAGAAAAGAACCAAACCTGGGAATTAACTTATGCTCCTAGAGAAATAAAGCCGATTGGAGTAAAGTGGATTTACAAAACCAAGCTCAAAGAAAATGGTGAGATAGACAAATTTAAAGCAAGGTTAGTAGCTAAAGGCTATGCACAACACTATGGAGTAGATTACACTCGAAGTGTTTGCACCAGCTTGCAAAATTAGATACCATTCGCATAATTTTATCTATGGCAACGACATAATGGTCGGATCATATTTCAACTTGATGTTAAAAGTGCATTTCTCCATGGAGACTTGAAAGAGGACATATACGTTCAGCAACCAGATGGATTTATAGAAAAGGGGCAGGAAGACAAGGTGTACAAATTGAAGAAAGCACTTTATGGGCTCAAACAAGCACCAAGAGCTTGGTATAATAAAATAGAAGCATCTTCCTGCACAATGGCTTCGAAAGATGTTTCTGTGAACACACTTTGTTCACAAAGTCAGCAAAGGAAGGTAAAATTCTCATTGTAAGTCTATATGTAGATGACTTAATTTACACTGGAAATGATAAAGGCATGTGTGATGAGTTCAAAGAGTCCATGATGACGTTTTTTGACATGACTCGATTTGGGGAAAATGAGGTATTTTCTCGGGAATTGAAGTGTTGCGAGTTTACACGGCATTTTTGTGTGTCAACTGAAGTATGCACATGAAGTTCTAGTTCGGTTTAACATGTTGGAGAGCAATGCGGTGAAAAATCCAATTGTTCCAGGTACTAAACTAGCCAAAACAGATACAGGGCCTAAAGCAGATAACACTCTTTTCAAACAAGCTGTAGGAAGCCTTATGTATCTGACTGCAACAAGACCTGATCTAATGTATGCGGTGAGTTTACTTAGCAGATTCATGACTAATCCCTCAGGGATACATTGGAGTGCTATCAAACGAATACTAAGGTACTTAAAGGGAACTACTGAGCTTGGAATATTTTATAAGAAAGGAGAAGATATAACATTAGTGGCATATACAGACAGTGATTATGCAGGTGATATAGATGACAGAAAAAGCACATCAGGACTTGTTTTCTTCTTAGGAACCGGGGCAGTCTCATGGTCATCCAAGAAACAACCAATAGTGACACTATCTACTACAGAATCAGAGTATATAGCAGCAGCCTCATGTGCATGCCAATGCATTTGGATAATGAGGATCTTGGAAACCATTGGTCTTAAAGAACAAACACAGGTTCTCATTCTGTGTGACAACAATTCTGCTATTAAGTTATCAGAAAATCCAGTATTCCATGGAAGAAGTAAACATATTGATGTTAGATTTCATTTTCTAAGAGATCTAGTCAAAGAAGGGAAGATTAAGCTGAGTTACTGCAACACCCAAAGTCAAATAGCTGATATAATGACGAAGCCACTCAAGTTGGAGCAATTCATGAAGATCAGACGTATGTTAGGCATGATTGAAGCATCAGAAGTAAAGTAAACTAAAGTTTGTTTTAAACTCTAGTTTAAGGGAGGGATTGTTAGTATTTATGTTTAAGTTTTGCAGTTTATTTGTTCTGTTTTTTTTATGGCATAATAATCGGTCCTATGTTGACCGAAAACCCAGGGTTATGGAGGCTAAATATTAGCCACTTTGTTTGCTGCAAACTGCCCATAGATCACGGCAGATCATGGAAGCAGTTATTTTACAAATCTATTTAATAAAGAAACAGCCCTGATAATTCATATCAGGGGATTCAGATTAACAAAAGCGTGAGTGTGCATACCTGAGAGTTTACAATTAGTCAAACCAAAGAGCCCAAGTATACTAATTGCAATTAGGAAATGAATAATAACATGAAAAAAAAAAATTGCAAAACACATAAATCATCAAAACTCTTCGAAGGAAAAGTATTACTTCTCCAAGTAAATGATCAAAAATAAATTACAGGTATGTCTTCCCACAATCATAGGGGAACAGAAAAGAAATTCATTAAACCAAACCAAAACTATTATGACACCCAGAAGTTACCCAGCACATATTCCTCTACAAATTATACTGATCCAGAATCACCCAAGTAAAATATACCCAAAGTAGCTTAATGAACACAGCTCAGATTTCACCATATAGCCATCAGATCCATGCACGTAGGAACAAGATTCAAAGCCGAAAAACCCAAAAATAAAAAATTTTCATCCACAAATGCATTATAAAAAATAAAAATTAACTTACAAATCCAAATTCAAATTAACAAAGACACCAATACAAAACGAGCTCGCAAATCCTACAAGACAACAATATTCACATAAAAGACAATAGGTGAAAGACACGGTTAAAAAATTCCACATACGAGACATACGGTGAAAAAACTGATAATAAAGTTGAACAGAACTCGAAAGACATTAGTTATAGCTGAAACCTATAGCTGAAACACGAGAGCAGAGTGAGAAATAATAATGGGGTTGAAGAAGGCCTTTTATATGAAGGCAAAAACATCTCAGTTCCGAAAATGCCCTCCGCGTATTTTCGTATTTCCCTATATTCCCATCAAAGTTTATCATCTTTTACTTTGTCACGCGCATAGATGTAAGTTGTGTCTCACGTTCCCTCCCTCCCAGCAGTAGTACGATGACCTTCTCACACGCGCCATGTATCTGCTTATGTGTATAGTTGGAAATAAAATATAAAAAATAAAAATAAATATAAGAAATAAATTTAAAATAAAAATTTTCAATTAAAAAAATAAAAATAGTAAATAATATTAACTATTTATTATTTAAATTATCAATACATTTATAGTATAACTAGTATAATACATAAAAAAAGTTTATTAGCAAGAACCCACACAAAAAGTAAAAGAATACTAATCTAAAATTTGTTTGCTTTTTGAAATTGTATTTAATAATTATTTAAAAAAAAACTGGTTTAAAATTTATTTTTTGCTTTTTGAAAATAAATCTTATATTAACAAGTTAAAGTATTGTATTGAAAGTAAGAAGAGGTGTGAAAAATGTCTCATACATAGATAATTATAAGAATTAAGGGTAGAGACCATCTTTAAGTCTCAATAGGTTTTCTTTATGTAATTTAAGATTTTAAACATAATTCTAACACATTATAAATTAACTATTAATTTATATTGGGTAGGATCTTAGGATTTATTTATAGAACTTGAAAAGTCCTTAACCCTCACTAATAAAATGAAAACATGTTAAGTTAAATTTAAATCTTATAAATTATAATTTAATTATTGATTTGTATTATTTGTAGGATTTTGTAATTCTATTTAACGTTTAAAAATTACAAATATGTATAGAGATTATTCGTTTCAGAATTGAAAAATATGATCTTCGTAAAAGTTTTAACCCTAGATATTGGTTGACGCGATGATTTCACACAAATATAGTGTGTAAAACTTAAGATATGATTTTATTTTTTTAAGTAACTAAAGGTATGCCATTAAGATTAGAATAAATTTTTACATTCTTTTTCTTATTTTAGGCCTAGTAATCGATTAAACTAGATTTTAAGGTCATATATAAGTTGTAGATAATTTTATTAACTTTGAAATAAAATAAAAATCAATATAATAATATTAGTATAACTATAAATATTATTTTTACACTAAACAAAGGTAATAAAAATAAAAGATAAAGTAAGTGTGAGTACTAAAAAAAGAGGTATTATCTACAAAATATTACTTACTGGATAAAAATCCATAGGTAAAATGTACATTACATACATATATTATCTACTGAATTTTATCTCGTATGTAAATTATCAATTACTTATGTCATCCATGGGTAATTATCTATTACCTACGTAATTATCAGTCCGTAGGTAATCTCATTCGTGAATATTATCCATTACCTACAGTAATTACTATTTGTAGGTAATGTCGTCTTCCATTATCTACGGAATTATTATCCGTAGGTAATACCATTTGTGGGTAAGTATCCATTATCTACGTAATTATTGTCCGTAAATAAATTAAATATGGTTTGTAATATGTAAATAAATTATATACGGATTACATATGTAGGTAAATTATATCAAATTAAAATAATTATATCAAATATATAAATATAGAAAATTTTATTAAGAAGAATCTTACCAACAAATTTTTGTTTGTTAGATTTTTGGTTGAAAAAGGGTTATGGAGGGATCAAAGAGATATTGACCTTAAACAAGGTGATATCCCTTTAATCTTTCCGGTTGTACCAATAAAAGGAAGAAAATTGAACTTGGTTTCCATCATTGGCGTCAATAAAATTATCATATAATTTGTTAAAATTGAATAATATCCATTCTTCCGAGTCTTTACCCGTATAAATGTGTTAGAACTTGAGATTATTCATATCTTTACTTTTTAAGAGAAGTGGGATGAAAACTTTACCTTCATTACACATGTGGTATTATAGTTTGAAATTTTGACTTTATAAACAATAAAAAATAATTATGCAAAAAATATTTCAATATATTATAATGATATAAAATATTAATGATAATTTGTTTATTAATGACTAAAATTTATTAGTTTAACATTTAAAATAATTTTTTATTTTAGAAGAGTCAAATTATAAAATGAGAAAAAATTCTTATATAAAAAATAAACATAAGCATAATATTATTATGGCTATTATTAATATAATTAATTATTATTTTTTAGTTTTTTATATTTAATATCATTCACAATTTCATCATATTATGTTAAAATATTAGTTATATATAACTGATTCAAATATCAATAATTTAGTTGATTACATTTTTAGTTATTTAATTATTATTTTGAAAATCATCAATCGATCTAATTAAAAATTGGTTTAAAAATCATTCCGTTATTTTTAAATAACTAAATTTTAATTAAATTAATATAAAATTAATACAAAATCAACTTAATTTTTGGGTTAAACTAATTTTATTAAAAAAATTAAAAACCATATTTTTAAAAGATAATCAATTTTATAAAAAATTAAAATATATTTTTAGTTGTTTTCTTCATTAATCTCTTATAAGATCAACTTTACATAATAAGTATTTTATTAAGTTTACTTCTTACTATCTAGTCTTTCATTTTTCATCCATTATATATTTTTTAATTTTAATTAATATTTACAACGATAATAATTTTTACTATTATATTAATAAATTTGATTAGATTTAATTGAACATTTAAAACATGCATTCATCCCCTAAATTCACGATGAATTCATGTTTATACCGAATCCATGAATGTTCCAATTTAAAAAGATTCATCCTAATAGATAAAAATCATACAATTATGAACATTCCAGTTTTAAAAAGTTCATCCTAATAGATAAAAATTATACAATTAAAACTGTTGAGAGATGTGTAACTAACCCAATAAAATCATATTATATGAATTAAAATCATATTCAGATTTAAAATTTTTTATTATAACTTTTCTTTGAATTAAGCTTTTCGATGAAGAATTAAGTTCTTTAATTATGAATTATTTAAAATAATAAATGTCGATAAATGTTATTCCTTTTTTAAAAATGAGAATAATTAATATTTCAATTATTCATATAGATGACGGGTTGGTTTTCCTTACTTTATGTTGCCATCTAAAGAATTTCCTTTTATAAAAGTCGAGTCCAAAATATTAAAAAAAAAAGATATTCCAACATAAAATATTATAACATCAAAATATTTTCTCAAAATTTTAATAAAAGAATATATTTATTTTATATTAAAAATAAGTTAAAAAATATTGCGTGACCTTAAAATACCAGGCAGCTCCATAAATAATGTAATGATTCTGGAGGATAAACACATAAAAGAAAAAAAAAAAGTGTGTTAGAATGAATAATGTTGTTGATACCATATGTGTACAAGGAACTTTATAACAATGAAAAAGGAAAAACAAGAATAAAGAGAAGTATGAAAAGTAATAAAGAAGAAATCATAATAAAAGGCAGTAGTCGTATAAACTTTTATTTAACCTGTTGTGAGAATTATTAATACTCTTTGCTTCCTCAACCTGAACTATATGTGTGTATATATATTGCTTGGGACAAGAGATTCCACTGCACATAACCACTTAAAGGTTCAGTAAATTTCCACAAACCAAAGCAGAAATTTTAGCTTCTTCTCTGGTAGTGTGAGATATATAGCCACTATGGTTGAGCTTTTGGCTGTGATACTAACTCTCTTCTCAGGCCTTGCCTTTGTGTATCTTCTCAAATATGTTACCAAAAGTAAACAAGATTTCCCACAAAAACTGCCCCCTGGAAGCATGGGGTGGCCCTTTTTGGGGGAGACACACGGCTTTCTCAAGTCTCATAGATCAAACTCCTTGGGAAGCTTCTTACAAGAACATTGCTCTAGGTTTTCTCTGTGCTCTTCGCCAATCACAGTCTCGTTGTTACTACTAACATTAAGATCCATACTTATGTGTGTTGTACTCTACCAAGGTTGGTTGTGGGGTTCAAATGACTAAGCAATGTCGTGGTTTTGCAGGTACGGGAAAGTGTTCAAGTCGCATCTGTTTGGTTCTCCCGCCATAGTTTCATGTGACTTTGAGTTCAACATGTATGTTCTTCAGAATGAAAGGAAGTTACTCCCTGTTGATTACCCCAAGGTGATGCATAACATCCTGGGGAAGTTCTCTCTCATTCTTGTCAAAGGAGACCTTCACAGGAAGCTAAGAAGTACCGTTATTAGTTTTGTCAGTGCAACAAAGTACGAAACCCAATTTCATCGCTGTGTGGAAATGCTTGTACTTTCAAGGATTAATTCTTGGGATACAAACTCCAAACAAGTTGCTTTCTATAAAGAAGCTAAAAGGGTATGGCTCCATTAGTTTACTTGTTTGTTTCTACTGTTTTAAATATATTCCTTGTACTCTTGTCGCGTTACACATGATCAAGCAGAAGAAGTGAATATAATAGTATTTTAATCAACATATGTTGGAGAAATAACCATTTTTTCAGCTTTTGGGAAGAGTCTTTTTTAGTATAAATGAGTTCGCTTTTTAAAAATTTGACGTTTTCAATATTTTTCTTCCGTGTGAAACAGTTTACGATCAATGTTATGATGAAACACCTACTAGACATTAATCCTTATGACACAGTAGCCTCCAAGATTCTTGAAAACTTTGAGAACTACATCAAAGGATTTATTTCATTGCCGATAAATATACCCGGGACTGCATATTTCAAAGCTTTGCAGGTACTAATATGATCATAAATTATTAAGCAGTTAATCCAAGTGCCAAAATCAGTGTCCTTATTCTGATATCAGAATGTTTTACTTTTGGCTATTCTATCAGGCTAGAATAAGACTTACGGCCATTATCAAAGGTATTATAGTTGAGAGACGAAAATGTAATCATGTGAGGCCTGCGCAAGGAGGGGACCTCTTGAATGTGATCTTGTCAAAGGATAATCTAAGTACTGAAGAGATGGTGAGCCTTGTGTTAGACCTCTTGTTTGGAGGTTATGAGACAACTGCAAAACTTTTATCCTTGATTGTCTATTTCCTTGGTGGAGCCTCTAATGCTTTACAAAGGTTGAAGGTACTTAAGTTTAAACCATTTTGAATCAAGAACACATGTTTCCAAATCATTACTGGTTTGATTATTTTAACCGAAAACCTTTTGCAGGAAGAACATCAAGAGATAAGGAAAAGAAAAAAGGAAGGGGAACCACTTAACTGGGATGATTATAAGCAAATGGAGTTCACTCAAAATGTAAGAAAAACTAACCAATTAAGTTACCTGTATCAAATTAACTTTTGTCTCCTCTCACTAATGAAATAGAAAAAAAAAATCTTAACATCAGGTGATAAACGAAGCCATGAGATGTGGTAATGTAGTCAAATTTTTGCACAGGAAAGCCGTTGAAGATGTCAAATTCAAAGGTATATTTACTGTGGGATGATGTTAGTTCCAGCTATTTTAATTCTGATATTATATCACTTTAACTTTTTCCTCTTCCACTTTGAAGTTTAGTCCATCGAATTAGTAGAGATGCAAGATGACAGAGAAAATGTACCACGTACATTTAGAATCTGTGACTCTTACTTTCTTTCTCACTTTGACATGTTTGTATCCTTTTGTATTGTTAAACTGAAGCCACTCTCATGCATTATTTAAACTGTTGCAGATTATGTGATACCCGCAGGATGGAAGGTTCTTCCTGTCTTGTCTTCTGGACATTTGGATCCCACCCTTTTTGAAAATCCTTTGGAGTTCGATCCCTTTCGGTGGGATGTAGGTTCTTCACTATATCATGCTAAATAAATAACTATATAAAGATCATGAATGTCTTTGAAATCAACTCTTTTATTTCATATATAAATGTGAATGAACACACCACACGAGTACGTAACACCTTTCATTGTTACCCTACAACACTGCACAGATGATTAGTTTTTGTCTCTATTTGCAGGACAATTCGACAAGCAAGCAAGTGGCACCATTTGGTGGGGGTCCACGATTCTGTCCAGGGGCTGATCTTGCAAAATTGGAGACAGCATTCTTCCTCCATCATCTTGTCCTTAATTATAGGTACTTTACTCATTACACTACCAACCTATAGTAAAATACACTTGAATTCAAGTGTGAATTAGATTTTGATCATGTAAAAATAAAAAAGTTAAATAAGCAAGAAATCTTTTGTATTAAAGTTTTGGGTTGAATATGAAATTATTATTTTTTTATGGTTGCTTAGTATATCAGAAGTAAACCTCGTTCTAGTGATGTCCTCCTGCAAGAATCAACTATACAAGAAATGTGAAAAGCTAGCTAGTTGTAATGTGAAATCATTTTGATTAATGTTCTTTTCTCATGTTTATAATGTCCTACTACCAGAAATTTTTTTTCTTTATGCATAGGCATTTGAAACTTTTGGAAGGGTGCACGATAGAAATAATGTGATCAATCAAGTACTATACTTTTTTCTTTTTTTTTTACATATTCCTTTCTACACTGAATTTTTTGGTGTTAAAGATGTATCTAATTCTCTAAGACCCGCATCATTTGATAACTAACCCTGTTTAAGTTTTGATATATAAGAAAAGATAGACACTGAATATTCATTGATAGAAAGTGTGATGATCGAAGAAGAAACATATAATATAGTTTTGCATGATGAAATTGTTTTATACAAATAAAGGTAGTTAATTAATGTTGATATTATTTTTACAACAGATGGAAAATCAAGGGTGATGATCCCCCACTTGCTTTACCGTATGTGGAATTCACAGGAGGGCTGCTATTGGATCTTGAACCCACAGGCTGAACTTTTGGGGAACACCTTTTATTACAGTTTGGTTTTTATATGCTCAAAATCGATAAAACAATATTATGTAACAGAGAAACTAAATTGTTATTTATAGGAATGGAACCAAACTTTTAAATTTGGAATTTTATTGCATCATTCCATTTGATCTCTAACCAAGCAATTCTACATCATGATCTATCAATGAAGAAAACACCATGAAATTTTTAATGAGTTTATTTGTCCCTATCAGTATATATATATATATATATATATATCGTTGAGAAATGGTCCACAATGATGGCATTTCAAATCATGAGTCTTCAAAAGTTAAACTTTCTGTAAAAAGGAAAAAAAAATAGCATGAAATTGTTGTTGAATTAATTTGTCCCTGTGAGTATAATATTCAGTGAAGATTAACAATAATGGCTTCGAAATCATGAGTCCTCCAAAGTTAACAAGGTACTATTTGTTAATTATATTATAACAACAAAAATTAAATCGTATTGGAACGGTCAATTTAATCGATCAAACTAGGAGTTGATTTATTATTTTTAAATAATCATATTTTAATTAAATTAGTATAAAATTGAAAAAAATTATTTTTAAAGATAAAATATATTTTACTTTTTACTTTTTCTATTACATCAATTTTAAATAATAATTATTTTATTATATTTTTATTTTACTTTAAATATTATCTATCTTGTAATCTATAATATATTTTATAATTAATAAATGTATTATAATTATTATATTATAAAAATATTATTTTATTAAATTAATGGTTAAATTCCAATTAATAAATCTTTAAAACTTGAACATATTTCTCCGTACCAATTTAAAAAATAATGATTATAACTAAGAAAGATGGTAGGCACTAAATTAATTTTCTTTTCTTGAATGAAAAATATTAATTTGAGAAGCTTTGAACCAAGTTTTTGTTTAATAAAAAATATTTTTTTGTCCATGACCCACAATAAAATAAGTTATACTTTAATTCTAATATTAGTTAAAATGTCAAGATAAAATTAATAATATAATACTTAACAGATATTTAAATCATATTAATTAGTGTGAAGTAGACTATGCGAGATTTTCAATATTTTTAACATATTTATTTACTTTATATAATTTAATTATACAAAGTAACCAAATATTTTACCTATAATTGTCTCATTTTACTCATAAATAATTACTTAGATTGTCTTTTCTTCCTTTCTATTAAAATTGAGTAAATTTTTAATTACATTTTCCTTATTTCTATATATTTTTTCTTTTGAATTAAGAGAACAATAACTAAGTTTCAATCAACATGTGAAGGTAATTAAGAGGCTTCTCTTTTTTTATCAATTGTGTTCTCTTATCAATGTTTTTAAGCTGATGTTCATTTTCACACTCATGTTAGCAAGAAGTAAGAACATTGTAATTTGTCATCGCAACAAAAAAAAAAAACTAGAATACATTATGTTGCATTTGCGTTGCCTCTTAGTAAAAGAATAATAAATGTACTAGAAATGTATATATATTTTTGGAAGAAAATGTTTTTGAATTATTACAGAAGGTATTTTGTGTGAGAGCATTGTCACAGATAAAATAAATTTAGTAACGGAGTATGAATATTATTTTATTATCTTTTATTTAAATTAAATATTAAAATAGATATTAATATTTAATATTTTATTATATTCTTAATATATATATATATATATAATATGAATAAACAATATATATTTCATATATAAAAATAATATCCATACATTAAACTTAAAAAATTTCCATTGATTGTATAGTGAAGCAGAGAATTTGCCCTATATTACAATAATGCTGCTAATTTTTTCCGGTTTCTTAAATGCTGAGGCTGAAAGCATGGAAGAAATTTAGGTCATCACTGTTTTGATCATTTAATTAAATCACTTTTTAAATTTTGATCGTGTTTTCTATTTTGTTTTTTAATTGTAAAATTGAATTGTCTTTGTATTTAATAACTGCTTATAATTTTTTTATTTAATAACGAAGACGATTTTTCAGATAAGAAAATTTTTAATGATTATTTTTAAGACGATGTTTTGTTGAATTTTTTTTAATTGTTTAATATTTATTTCATACTTTTATAATATTTACTATCTATTGATCTCTTAAAATTTTGTTTTATAATCATTATTTATATTATAAATATTTGGATGATATTAATTATATTTGTTAAATTTAAATTATTTGAATATGATGTATTTTGGATACTGTTGTATTTGGACAAATATGACGTATAGTTTACTCTTGTATTTGGATACTGTTGAAAATAAGAAAGGAAAAATCTATAACATTTGTGACATTTTGGATTTTGATGCACATGCTTCATCTTTAAAGGTTGAGCATCCCTCTTCCAAAAAAAATTAATTTGTGTCACACCAATAAATCATTATATTAAATATTTAATTTGTAAGAATAAGTAAAAACGCCATTGCATATACAACAAACTCACATGCAACACTACAAAAATTTGTCAATTAACAAGAAAATTTTGTTACAAATTTGATTGTCCACTAATATGTAACTAATATATACTGAAATAAGTCATAACTAATCTATAACAAAATAACTAATTATTGCAAATATTAATAAATTTTTAACTATTTCTTCATTAAATATAAAAATAATTTAATCACAGTAAATCAAACACCTTCTCCCATTTTATTTTTTTCTCTTCTCTTTGAGGTGATTTTTGTTTCATTTAGTTTGACAGAGTAAAAATATGATAAATTAAATAAATAATTTGTAAAGTTCAACAACTATTTTAACAAAATGAATGAAAACAACAAAATGATAAGAAAATAATTAGCAATAATTATGAATTATGAAACAATTTGCATACTTAAAAATTCCACATAATTTTATTAAAATCAACCTAAGAAAGGTAATATATGTATTTGTACAACTGGTTTATATTATATGATTTTGATTTAAGATGTTGAGAATGTGAAATAACTTATAAGTTTCTCTCTTATTATTATAACTTGGTAACTATTTTTTTTTTAATCATGATTTTCATTTGAATTTAAGACTATTTAATATAACACAAATTTTATTATTTTTACTTGGTACGAAGTAATTTAATAATAATTTTTATAATTCTAATATATAATTTATTATTTTATGTACCAAGAATAAACAAATTAATGTTAAATGTTATGTATTAGACAAATTTTTATACATTAAAAATATTTACAAAATAGAAAAACATAAGTTTAATTTTTTTTTTAGATTCAAAATACAAATTGATATATAAAATATAAAGACCTTAATACTTTAAACTTACAAAGTTTTGAAATTTAATTTCACTTTATGAAAAAATTTATTATTGTTTAATATATAACTTTATATAATATTAATTACAAAGATAAATATTAATAAAAATTAAAAACATTTACACAATAATTAGTAAAATAAAATAAAGACAATATATATATAATATTGATTTAACTTTTACATAATTAAAGTAATTAATTGAAAATATTAGCTTAATTGAATATGCATAATGATTAACCATTAATTATACTCTACTTTTTTTTCTGAGAAAAAACAGTGGAAAGTCTAATAAAATTAACTTATCTAATAAAATATAGTTTATTTTTATATTTATAATTTTAATTTATATGGATTTTTTTTAATTTAAATATTAGTAAATAGATATAATTATTATCAATGACAATTAAATAAATAATTGAATATATTTTATATTATTTTAAATTATTTATGAATTAAATATATTTTAAATAAATTGTATAAATGATATCAAATATGAACTATTAAAAATTTATTCTAAAGTTATTAATTTAAAATTATTTATATATTAAAATTAATTAATAATTATATGAATATTTTTATAATAGAATATGTATTTTTTATTACATTTTTATTAAGATCTTAAACTCTTTCATCTATTATTTTTTTTAAAATAAGTTTCAATAAAAAAACAATAAATTAACTGTAACTAAATTTTAGAATTTAATAGATATGATACATGTATATTTATATTATATATATATATATATATATATATATAATCTATTTATTACGAAAATAAAAGTTAGAGATTTATTTAAAGTTTTTATTATTTTGTTTTAAATGAGTACATCCTGACTCTCACTGTGTATATATTGTATTAAGATTTGAATTATTCACTGAATATGTCAAAATATAAATTAACATATAAAATATAAAGTCCAAGTTTTGAATTTAAAGTCCTTTTACGTTATTAAAGAAATTAATTAGAAATATTCATTTAATTGACATACATAATAATTAACCATTAATTATTCATCCTGAAACAAGTTTATATCAACAAATGATAGCAAAATATATAAAATTTTTAAAATAACTACAAATTCACAAAGTTTATATAAATCTTTTGATAAAATGTGTTTTTATTTTTTTAAAAGGTCTCATTTATATAATTTTTATAAAAATTTGTTACTTCCTTAAAAAAATTATAATGTAGCATAATTATATGGAATATTTATTGTTTTTATTAGAACAGTTATTGTACTTTTAATTTTTTTTATTATTGTAACTCTTATAAAATTTATATGTTAATTTTTAATAATTATTTTAATCCTTAGATTTAAAGAATTAATAACACTTTTTATTATAGACTTAAAAACGTAAAATAAAAAATTATATTTAGATTTTACAAAATTTAATTAATATATTTTTTTATAAGAAAATTATTTTAATTGATCAATTTAATTATGTGTAAATCAAAATGATATACCAATAAAAATATATTCATAAAATACCATTTTAAAATTATCTGAATTTATATTAATATTTAAAAATACATACATGATTATTAATAAATATTTATATAAAATAAAAATGTGAAAAAGTATTAAAATTATAATATTAAATATAGATTATGGTAAATTTAATACACATATCACTACTCTAGTAACTTTATATTACAATATAAATTGATTGCATAATTTAAAATATAATTTATACATTAATTTTTTTATTTTTTATTATAGGTTAATTATAATTTAAATTATATATTTAAAATTATTTATTCTAAAATTTAGTTATATAAACTATCAATTTATTTTATATTCTTTATATTTTTATTAATGCAAACGCTTGATAAGGAAAGTCAGTTTTGATATTTTGGTTTTAATAGAATAATTGTATATATATATATATATATATATATATATATATATTTAAAAAAATATTCAAAATTTTAAAATAAACTTAAGATTATCTGAAAAAATTAATTTCAAGGTTTATTTTTAAAATCCATATAACTCGATATTTGTCGTTAGTTAACGCTGTTTACAGATGTGGAGTTTTATTTCATTTTAATTTTTAATTCAGAAATAGTTTGTTTTTCTTGGCAGAAGAAACCATATTTTTGGGCCGGGCCTGAAAACCATAATTTGGGCACATCCCTTTTTATACAATAACCGTTTTGAGTTCCCTACTCTCCTTCTTCAGCCGCAACTCACATTTCTTCGCTAGGGTTTTGTGTTCCTCCAAATTTTTTGCCCAACATGGTGAGCACCTTTTCATCCCATTGGATCTAAACTTCTGTTGTCATGTTCTCATCTTTTGCTTGTATAGCGGTTATTAAATAGTGAAAACATGTTATTATTAATTTTTTTTACTGGTTATATTTTGTTGTGCCATCCTCTTGAAAAAGGTTGAATCTATTGTTTTCTAATATGAGGATTTGATTTTTATTTTTTATTTTTTTTTTAGTTTTGTGATTTAATTGGTTGGGTTTGGCAAATAATATATTTTGGTTGAACAGGTTCTTCAAAATGATATTGATTTGCTAAATCCTCCTGCTGAACTTGAGAAGAGGAAACACAAACTCAAGCGTCTTGTTCAGTCACCGAACTCTTTCTTCATGGTATTGCCATATTTATGACTTCCCCCTCTGTTTTGAATTTTCTTCTCATTGGAATGAGAATTTTTGTCATTCAAAATTTGTTTATGTGCTTTTAACTGGGTATTAGTCTTTGTCTAATTGGGTTTGTTAACCTTTTTCCTCTTTTGTAGGATGTTAAGTGTCAGGGTTGCTTTAACATGTAAGTTGATTTTTTCTTTTATGTATTTTGATGGGGGAATATGTTAGTTCTATTGCCTTTGTGTTTTATTGATTTTGAATGAAAATAGGTTGAATGGTATGAATTTAATTGTTTAACTTTTCTTAACATTTGAGTGGTATGAATCTGTCTTGCAGAACGACTGTGTTTAGCCACTCTCAGACTGTTGTTGTGTGCGGAAACTGCCAGACTGTCTTGTGCCAACCAACTGGTGGACGGGCTAGGCTAACTGAGGGGTGCTCCTTTAGGAAGAAGGGAGATTGAATGATATTATCTTTTTTTGTTTGTGACTGGAGAGTTTCAGAAATGCCTTCCCTTATTTTGGTTATGATACGTTAATTTTGTTAGATCGGATTATTTGAGCGCACAAAATTATCCAAGACATTAAGGATTATACTTATATTTGCATTTCTCTTTTACTTCGGTTCTTGTGTCTATGTTAGACTCTTATTTTTAAATTAGAATTTCAGTTATGGAAACATTTGTGTGATGCTGTTAGGGTCTTATTTTTAAATTAGAGTTTCAGTTATGGAATATCTGTGTGGCATGTGCTTTGTCCCAACGCATAACTAAACATGCGTAAGTTTTACTTTTTGTGATGCACCTTCTAAGGGGGCTTGTTAGGATTTTTCTCTGCAGAAATACTTAGTTGTTTGTGCGACGGGTTGACCTACTTTTCAAATTTCTTGATGAAATTTATGTATTGAAGTGGATGTGGTTCTGTTCTGTATCTACAATAGCCTAGCCATCAATTTTGCTTTCAGTAATTATAGTTTGGAATTATTAATTGTCGAATGTTAGATTTTTCACATTGACATTGTTTTTTTCATGTTTTGCAACGATGGTCTGTTTTTGATGCGCCTAAGGCCGAGCGCTTCCTTCTTTAGTGAGGGGTGGCGTGGTATTCCACGAGAGAAGGTATTCTGTGTGGCGCACTCTTTTTAAGGTGCGTAGGCGCAAATAAATGGATGGGTTTCCTTGGCCGCTTTCCTGTTCTAGTATTAGCAGATAAAGCGAGAGGTTTGCCCTACATTACTTTAATGCTGCTTAATTTTCCCCATTAGGCTTCTTAAATGTTGAGGATGAATGGTTATTTAGCATGTTAGAAAATTAATTCTTTTTTTTTTTTATTCTCGGAAAGAAAAGGTTGAAACACAAGGGTCTCATTTTAAATTTTGGTACAGACTTATTTTTTGTTTTTTAAGCTTATAAATTTGAATTGTCTTTGTGTTTAATAACTATTTACATGTTTTTTTGTATTTAATAATGAAAAGGATAATTCTTCGTTGAATTTTATTTTTTAGTTTTTTATGATAGCAACATAATATCTTAATTCATTGTAGAAACTCATAATGCCTTGTCTAGAAGAGGGTCATCCTATCCAATCCTTGAGAATTAGGTTCTTTTTCATACTCACCACTTATAGTATGGTGTTCTATTTATTAAATTTTAAATTATTATATATGATATTTTTTTTATTGTTCTTGCTTCTTTAATGATGTTTTATTTATTAAATTTTAAATTATTTTTTACTGTTGTCTTACGTGTTGTTTCAATCCATGTCCCATCAATTGATAAATCAACTATTAGTGGTCAATCAGTGAGAAAATTTGTGAGAAATTACTTATCAATATGTGAAAACACATCTTTGTTGGGTTAGTTATTGATTCGTGAGAGAAAAATTACAATTAATTAGTTATGGATTAGCAAGAGCACATTTGCATGATAGTTACTAGTGAGAAAAAATTGTAAAGGAAAATTTGTGATTACAAGCAATTAACTAAGGAAAAATAAAATCTTCTCACTTTAATTTGCTAGAAATTTAGTGCTGAAATTTGCTACAAAATAGGGGTAAAATATATCTCCCACTAATAGACACAGCCCTATTAACAAAAGATAAACTATAAATTACCATTCATTTATTGATTATCATCTAAGCTCAAAATATAACATAGATTTAACAAATAATTGTTAATCATTAATTAGTTTTTCAACCAGTCATTAATAAGTTATTATTTTTTATATACATTTTGGAAGAGAAATATTGAAGTTAGAAAAAACATATAATTCTACGTGTTGGTTTTGCAAAAAAATTGTCAACAATTCAACAAAAGATGGTAAACCAATTTTTTACTGTTAAGTTTAATTAGACAAATAATTAATTGTATTTTGTTGGATTTATGTGGTGATTTACATACGGAGTAAATGTTAAATGTGTTGTTGAGCTTCATTACAACTCATAAGAAAAGAAATGAATCTTATCTTATTGAGGAAGGTGGTAAAGTCACTTAACTAGTTGCTCTACAATGTTTTCAAAGTATGATTGCTTTCTAACACATTATAATTGAATGTTTTGTTTTATTTTCAAGAAAAAATGACAATGAAGGAGAAACAATGGCAATTTTATAAAAGAATTTGTTTGTAAGTTTGTTGTAGAGAAACTTATTTGACTTTTAAGATGAAATTTTGTTACGTTGTTATTGTTGAGACTAATGAAGGATGTCTTGAGCGGTTCATGAATCTAACCTTATAATTACTTTTAATTTGTTAAAATATTCTTAGATTGTATTTAATTAAATAAATAATTATTTATTTTAAATGATTATAATTACCTTAGTAATAGTCATGGGTTTTGTTTTAATAGTTTTTAATTGATTATTTTTTTTCCACCATTGGATAAATTTTAAACTGTTCTCATTTAATTGATTAAAATGTTTCTATATTTTCAAGAAAATGCATTGTTTTAATATATTAATTTTGAAATTTGATCTAATATATGAAAACTGTTAAGTTTTAATTCATTTAATCTAGCTTCAATACAAAAATTATTCTTGAATCTTTGAGAGATATCTAAATCGTTAAACACAGAATTACGCTTATTGTTCTTGTATTATAACTGTGTTTTTCAGGTGATTTCAATAATTTTCTTGAGGAAATTGTATTTGTTCTCGATTTGTGAGATTTTGTTTTTCTAGTATAAACTTAGTAGGGTAATTGGATGTAAGTTTTGAATAAGTGTGATTCAATGTAAAATACTTTGGGATTTTCTTTTCTCTTTTCACCTTTTCGATCTTTAATCTTGTCTTTAATATTTTTGGTTCTTTAATCTTCTCTTGTTCTTTAATAATCTTGGAATATTATGTAAAACATTATCAGACGTTATCTTTGATTTATTTAATAAAGATTTATTTTAAATATTTTTGAAAAATAATTGATAGTTTAATTTACTCTTCTTAATTCAACCTTTTTATTTGTTAGTGAATTACGTGTGGCTAAGGGTTTTATTTTATCAAATTACATCCTTAAGTTCTTTTAAGATAAATAGGTTAATTTTTATAAGGAGATAATTTAATTATTAAAATTTTGAATAATATAGTACAATAATTAAAAAAAATAATGTTTAAGCCATTTTTTTTATTTCTTACGTCTTCAAAAATAAAATATTATCTTGGATGATATTCAATTGTCAAAATATAATAATTAATGAAAATATTAAATAAAAAAATATAATGGAAACATACTTGGTAATAGTTTGTAATTGTTAATAATTTTTATCTTTTAAGTATAAACGTCGGAATATAAAAAACTATGATAATTAAATTTTATTTATCATCTGAATCGATAGAAGCAACATTGGTGTGGATCTCTGGAGGAGATTAGAGAAAGAGAGAAATTGTGAAATTGAAAATGATAATGATAACAGCAAGAATAAAGGTTCTATGGAATTGTTGGAAGGGAGAGATCCCTTTGAAGGGAGTTGAGTGATGTAGGGTTGACATGCATGAACAAGTAGTTGCCAGCAAAAAGTTCGCCAAAATGGACCTGACCATCTCTGAATCTCTTCAAAACTTTGGCATACGAAACTCTCATGGAAGAAACCAGCCTCCTTCTTTTTCTCCACAATTTTCTCAAGCTTGGGACTTTGAGCCTCAACCTTCTTCTGAGGGGAACCCTTTTGAACCTGAACCTGCTCCTTGCCTCATCGTGTCTTAGCTTTTGATAACCAAGTGTGGTTGGAGGAAGCATTGAGATGGTGGGTTTTTCAGGATTGAAACAACTCATTTGAAGAGAAGGAGATTATGAGGGAGATTTAAGATCCTGTGAGTGAGTAGTTGGTTTCCAATGTGAATCTGATTTGACGCCACAAGAACTAAGAGGAGTCTGCAAAACCTCTTGTCGCTGTTGTTGATGAGTTGAGTGCATTAAATGGAACGTGAAACGGTTGGTGAGTCTACCTATTTTTTATGCTGCAATCAATTTCTCTCCATTTCCCCATTCAATTGTTTAACACCACATCTTTTAATTCACACTTCATTTTAAGAACAGAATACGATTTTTTTAAAATTTATTTTAATAAAGTAAAATTAATAGTGAATTATTTAAAAATTATAAGATATTATAAACTCTTATTTTAATTTTATTTAAGGTCAAAATAGTTGAGTTTTTTTTATTATCAGAAAAAAATATATTTTGAACACATTTTCATGTTACCAACTTAAAACTTGTTAAACATGAGATGATGATAATGATATATAAATTAAGCTTCTCATCTCATCGAATCTACTTTAAATGTTGGAGAAATGGTGAAATCATGAAACATTAACGTCTTTAAGGAAAAGGAAAGGTTAAGTATTTCCAAAGCAAAGAATGTTTTGTAAATAAAAATATATATTTTTTATTATAAATCTATAAATAAATAGTTTAAAAGTTATTTGTTTATATAATTTTTTTAAAGTATATAAATTTATAATTAATTTTTATTTTTAAACCATTTTAACTAATAAATTCTTACAAATTCATCAAATCATATGGAGGTAGTAACTTTACTTTATTACGTGTTTTGGTTGGATACGTTGACTTTTGAAGATATATGAAATCACTATTTATATATATTTTTTGTTAATTTTGAAGTTTAATATACTTATTATGTAAACAACAAGTTTCTAATATTCATGTTTCATTCGGAGAAAGTAATTTTGAAGTTCAGTTTAACTTTTATATATACTTCTAAAAATAACAGTGTTTAAACATAAATAAATATTTATAACATAAAATTATATTACCATTAAATATTTATATTTAAATATATAACTTATGTATTGTTATATATAAGGAACAATTTAAAATGTGGTGTAAATCTATTAAATATTGTCATTTTTTAGAGAAAAATACTTTTATTCAACTTAAAACAAAAAAAAATTAACAGCAACAGTTGACAAAATTAAGTATATATAATGACATTTCGAGACTGATTAGAGAAAAAAATTATTAATCGTGGAAGTAAAAAGTGAAGTTTACGTAAGAAATAAAGATAGAAGGTAAAAATCCTACTTTTGAAAGTATATACACTAATTATATAGAATTTTATTTGTAATATAAAAGTAAATTATAAAAATTGTTTTAGAAATTTTATATACCAATTTTCGTTTTGAGTTTTTATTTAATAAAAAATATAAATACCAAATATATTAACTATTTTATTTAAAATATCTTTTATTAATCAATATTTGAATTTGTTTGGTTTGGTAGACATGTTAAGTGTTGAAAAATGATTGATATTACTTTTCATTACGGGCACATCATATAAAATCCTATGCTGATGACAAATTTTAAAATATATTTTAAATAATTCTAAAAAACTCATTTTCATTTTCAACTTTATTATTTAAAAATTAAGATCATATATTTTCAAATTTGATAGATTAAAATAAAATTTGTCCCATCAACTTTATAAGACAAATATAAGAAATGTTTTGAAATTATTATTATTATTATTATTAATATTATTATTATTATTTTCTTAAGTAAATGAACAATGTAGTAATAATTTAATTTTATGTAGTAACTATCAATATAAGTTTTAAGTAAAATTTATAAAAATTTAATATAAGTTATTTAAAAATAACGTAATTATGTTAAAATATATTATTTATAAGAATTCGGACTAATATAAAAATAACTGATATTAAATAATACTCAAACCACTTAATGAAAGTTGAAATTATGCCTTAACATCAAATGTTTTATCAATCAATTCTGTAAACATATGAGTTCAACTTTGACCATTAATCAAATCAAAATAAAGCGCATTGAAAACCATAAACATTAAACAAAATATGTGCATGATCCATAAAGAAATTAAAAGAATATATTAACAAAGCTTACAGAAAATACCTAAAATATAATTATAAATCCCAGAATAAACTCTTTTAGTACAAAGTTTTTGTTGAACCATTTTCACAAAATTTAGAACAATTTCCACGTCAAAATTTAACATCAACGATGAATACCCAAAATAGAAAATCCCAAAATTCCAATCACCTATAAATCAAAACACAAAAAAAAAAAAAAAAAAAAAATTGAGAAGAATAACCATGAACACAAGTTGGAGACTTGAATCCTTTATTTTGATCCTTTTCTTGATTATTTTTTTTCTTTTAACTAATACAAATTATACAGAAAAAAAAAACACATACACAGGAATGTAATTATTCCAAAAGTCCATCAAAAATTTTATTTCCTTTAACTTAAAACTCCAAACTCTCCTTTAAAATTAAATTTTCGTCCAAAATTTTAATTTATAACATTGATAAGATAAAAAATTAAATATTGTTTCTCAAAATTATTTCTCAAAGTATTCCAGTAAATATAAAAAGAAAAATCTATATAATTTATTTATTTTATTTTAAACTTCTAAATAATACAAGACTCTAAACATAACTTAAGATAATCCATAATTAATGAGTAAAAAATATAAATGAAATAAGACTATTTTTTAGACCCTACACTAAATGTCAATATTTTATTTTGGAACAGATAATGTTCCAACTTTATATTTATTATAATAATATTATTAATATTAATTGTCACATTTAAAACATTATTCAACTTCATATCTATAATAATAAGTGAACTACACCATGAAACTGTTATCATTTATTACATATATAACCTTAAGTTTTCCATTTAACATCACGCTAAACAAAATTAATAGCACCAACAACAAAGTTATGAAATAGTTATACTAATCATTCACTTAATAACATTGTAACAAAACTTCCCATTTTAATAATTAAAAACAAGAATAAGTCATGCATATGACTTGATAAAAAATAATAAATAGTTATTGGAAGGATGCTGTTTCTGATTTTTCACTTAAAAAAACAAAGAAACTATATTTAAGCTATAATGTTTTTAATAATTAGAATTTAAAAATCATGAACATAATTATATACACGCTAAGTTTGGTAACCCAAATTAAACTATACAATTTTTTTATAGAATTAAAATGTATGATCTTCTCAATCTACTGTCTTGAATTTTGCACATCACAATATCTAGAATTATACAATTAACAAGTATTACCACAACTTAACTAAAAAGTTTCTGAATCATTTTATCCATATAACTTAATTGTACATTTATCTCAAATTTTAAAAATAATACTTGTTAAAAACTGTCAATAAGTATAAGCCTTAAGAACAAGTTAAATAATTAATTACAAGTTTTCACAATTAATATTCATTTATAATTTTTTTATAATATATTTTGTGAACAGCTAAACTCATAATCATTAAGTTTACACTTCAAAATAGATAGTTCTTATAGCTCTGAACAAATAGAGATGTTTTTGAAACAATTGGTTTCTAAGGATCACAATTTTGTCCTAAATCAAAATCAAAGCATTAGAATATGATAACACAATTTGAAAATAATAGTTAATGATAATAACACACATAAATATACTAAACCAGGGGAGGGAGTTCGATGTGAATTAAATAATTGTTGCTGGATTTATGTGCAAATTGGTAATGGAAGGCTAGTTGAATGAATTCAACTAAATATTTCAGCAGAGAAAAAAACCTAACAAGTCCCCTTTGAAGGAGCATCACAAAAATTAAAACATACGCATGTTTATTTTTGCCTTGGAACAAATTCTAAAGCAAGAAAATTATGCTTGCCTTAGTGGAAGATTGAAGTGTGTTTCGACAAAAACATTTTACACCTAAAATATCATGTTAAGAACAAATATACACAAATATATCTGCTGCGGTTCATTTCCATAAGATTCACCTCATTACCCATTCAAATAGAGGACAACAAAAATGAAAGAAACTTAGAACACGCAAGTAGAATTCCACGAGATAAACAGAGTGCCTGACAAATACCATGGTATATAGGCATCTATCACACAGATATTCCATAACTAAAACTCTAATTTAATAAAAAAAATCTAACAATAGTCACATAATCAACAAGGACCGAAATTAGATGTAATCCTTAATGTCTTGGATAATTTGGTGACTCAAGTCATCCAATCTAACAAAATTAACATATAATAACCAAATAACCAAAACAAGAGATAGCATTTCTGAAACTCTCCACTCACAAAACAAAAAGAATGATACCATTCAATCTCCCTTCTTCCTAAATGAGCATCCCTCAGTTAGCCTTGCCCGTCCACCAGTTGGCTGACACAAGACAGTCTGACAGTTTCCGCATACAACAACAGTCTGAGAGTGGCTAAACACGGTGGTTCTGCAGACAAATTCATACAATTCAAATGTTAAGAAAAATTATACAATCAAATTCATACCATTCAACCTATTACCCAATCAAAATCAGTAAAAAAAAACAATAAAACTAACTTAATTCCCAATGAAAATAAATTAAAAAAAAAATCCACCAAACTAACAAAAATTAATAAAATAAAGAAAAAATTAACTTACATGTTAAAACAACCCTGACACTTGACATCCTGCAAAAGAAGAGAAAAGGTTAACAAATTCAAATGGGGTAAAAGCTGATACCCATTTAAAAAGCACACACACAATGAATTGGGAAAAATTCTCCTTCAAATAAAAGTAAAAATCAAAACAAAGAAGCATAATTATGACATTACCATGAAGAAAGAGTTTGGTGACTGAACAAGACGCTTGAGTTTGTGTTTTCTTTTCTCAAGCTCAGCAGGAGGATTTAACAAATCAATATCATTTTGAAGAACCTGTCAAACCAAAAAATAATAATTATTATTATTCATCAACCACAAAAGAATATATCACAAAAACATAAAATCAAATTCTCATCACAGATTAGAAAACAATAGGTTCAACTTTTTCTCATAAAAGGCCACAACAAAATATAATAATTAAGAAAAAATCTTGATATCTTCTGCTACCTTTCTAACATGTTTTCTCTAATAAATAATTGCAATACAAACAGAAGATGAAAACATGACAAAACAAATTTAGATCTAATGCGATTAAAAGGTGCTCACCATGTTGGCCGAAAAATATGGAGGAACTCAAAACCCTAGAGAAGAAGTGAGAGTTGCGGCTGAAGAAAGAAGTTTAAATTTGGCATAAGATGGTTATTATAGAAAATGGGATGTGCCCAAATTGTAGTTCTCAGGCCCGGCCCAAAAAGATGGCTTCTTCTCAGCAAAGAAAAAAAGCGAATGAATTTTAAATTCAAAACTAAAAATGAAATAAAACTCCAACATATGGTAACCAATTAAAAAAAAAGCATAGAGTTATATGAATTTTAAAAATAAACTTTGATTTTTTTTCTTCATAGAATCATAAAATTTCTTTTAAAATATTGAGATCTGTTTGTTATTTATAAAAATAATTTTTAGTTTTTCAGTTTTTAAACACTAAAAAACTTTTTATAACTTTTTTTTATTAAAACTAAAAGATTAAAATTGATAAAAGATATTCTATATTTTTATTTTCCTTAATAAATATCAAATATTTTATCAATAAAAATATAAAAATAAATTGGTATTTTATATAACTAAATTTTATAATAGGTAATTTTAGATATATTTTTAAATTATAATTAACTACTAGAAAATAATTTTTAATGTATAACTTATATTTTAAATTTATGTAATCAATTTATATTGTAATATAAGGCTACTAGAGAAGTAATATGTGTACTTCGTGTATATATTAAATTTACAATTATTTTTGTATAAATATTTATTAATAAACATGTTCACATTTTTATATTATTACAAAAAAATATAATTTTATTTTACATATATCCTGGCTCATCTTGATTTGTAAGACTGTGATTTTAAAATTGTATTTTATGAGTATACTTTTATTGATGTATAATTTTGATTTACAGATGAATAATTATTTATTTAACTATTTTTTATTACAAAATTTATATTAATTTAGTTTGCATAAAATCTAAATATTATTTTTATTTAATTTTGAAAGTCTGTATAAAAAAATAGATGAATCAATAATTATTAAAAAATAATATATAAATTTTACAAGAATTATAATAATACGAAAAAAATTTATAGGAATTATTATAATAATAACAAATATATTTGATATAATTATGCTACATTAAATATTTTTATTGAAATTACAAATGTTGATAAAAAAAATTATATTTATACGTTATAAGGATCATACTAAAATGAAAAATATTATAAAAAATGTTTAATAAAGGAGAATTTTATACATATGAAAACATGAGTTATTTTCTAATTTGTATATATTTCACTATTATTTATTCATATAAATTTGTTTGTGATTTAATAATTAATGATTAATTATTACTTATATCAATTAAACAACTATTTCTTATTAATTACTTTAATTTGTAAATTTAAAATATAAGTTAACATTATATTTTTTTATATATTATATTTGTCTGGCTCTTAGAGGAAGGACATAATAAGAATATTTGATACATATTCGAGATTAAATATTTTATCTCTTTGCGTAATCTCTGTACCTATTCATTAATTCTCAATAGATCACAAAATCTAGGTAAGAAAATATATTGATTTATATTTAAACTCTGAATGAAAAATATATTAGTTAAAAATATATTTTTACTTGTATAATTTTGCAAATACTATTTAATATATAACATTTTAACCAGTATATAAAATTAATAATGAATTATTTTGTTTTGGTACATAAAATCATTAAATAAAATATATATATTAGAAAATTAATTAATTATCATTAAATTGTTGCATACTAATATTGTTTGCTAAAATTTATAAAAGGTGGTATTCTTTAATTAAATATAACAGTAATTCAAAACTTAATGAGAATAAGACATTTATTCACTTTAAAAATAAGAATTACAAAATTATTTTATATTTATTTATTTTTAAATTAAAATCTAATAAATAAAAAAAATTATTATTTTATATCATTATATTAAAAAACACAATAATAAAATCTAAAAAATAAGTCTCTCATTTTTATATATCTTTATTATTTATATATATAATAAAAATATACACACTTAAGTTTTTTCTAATTAATTATTGTGAAAACATATTAAATCTTTATTAATATCTATTTTTTTAATTAACATTATATTAAATATTAGACAATAATTTATTCTCTCATAGTATAATTAAAATTCAAAACTTTGTAAATTGAGAGTATCAAGATCTTTATATATGGATATTATCTCAAAAAAGGAACAGATTAGCTTCTATTTTTATTAGTCATTTTATACTATATGTATAAAATAATTTTGCCTCTATTTTTATTTTCAAGATATTTTAATCAAAAAATAGTTTCTAAAAATACTCTAATTTATTACTAAAAAATATAATCATAAAAGAGAACTGTATGTTATTTTTCACTATCACAATCTTAAATCAAAATATAAATCACACCCTTGTATTATATAACCCTAACAAGTCATCGTTGAAACAAAAATTAGAACTCAAGCATGTTTAGTGATGTTTTAGGACAAATTCTACAGTATTAAGTAATTTTGGCTATAAAAACGTGAAAATAAGTGTTTAGAAAATCATTTTACACCCAAAATGCCATGTTAGAAATTAAAACATTAGAGTTAAAAGTGTTCAAATTGAGAGCACATATATCTGCTATTCGATTCCATTCCACGGAGCAAAATAGAACACAACAAATAGACACCAACTCCACAAAACAAACAGGGTCTATGACAAATACTGGAGTAATAGGCATATATCACACAGATATTCCATAACTGAAACTCTAATTTAAAAATAAGAGTCTAGCATAGCCACATGAACAATAAAAGAGAAAAGCAAAACTGGATGTAATTCTAAATGTCTTGTGGATAATTTTGTGAGCTCAAGTAACAAAATTAACATACATAACCAAAACAAGAGAAGACATTTCTGAAACTCTCCACTCACAAAATAAAAATAAAAATCATATCATTCAATCTCCCTTCTTCCTAAAGGAGCATCCCTCAGTTAACCTAGCCCGTCCACCAGTTGGTTGGCACAAGACAGTCTGGCAGTTTCCGCACACAACAACAGTCTGGGAATGGCTGAACACCGTCGTTCTGTACATAAATTCATTCCACTCAAATGTTAAGAAAAATTATACAATCAAAATCATACCAATAAACATTCCAATCAAAATAATCAGAAAAAAAATGTAATAGAACTAACCTATTTCCAAATCAAAATCAATAAAAATTAATACAATATACTAACTTATTCCCCAATCAAAATCAATAATAATAAAAAAAAACTTACATGTTAAAGCAACCCTGACACTTAACATCCTGAAAAGGGAAAAAATGTTATCAAACCCAATTAGTTAAATGCTAAAACCCATTTAAAAGCACGTGGACAAATATTGAATGGCAAAAGTTCTCATTCCAATGAAGAAATTTTTTTTTTTCAAAACAGAGGTAAGTCGTAATTATTCAAATACCATGAAGAAAGAGTTTGGTGACTGAACAAGACGCTTGAGTTTGTGTTTCCTCTTCTCAAGCTCAGCTGGAGGATTTAGCAAATCAATATCATTTTGAAGAACCTATTCAAAAAAATGTTATTCATCAAACCCCAACATTTAAATCACAAAACTCAGAAAATCAAATCCTCATCACAGATTAAAAAACAATATGCTTAACATTTTCTCAGATGGAAACATGACAAAAGAAATTTAGATAGATCTAATGGGATGAAAATGCTCACCATGTTAGGCAAAAAAATAGGAGGAACTCAAAACCCTAGAGAAAAAGTGTGACTAGCGGCTGAAGAAAGAGAGAAAGGATTACAATCAGCGTAAAATGGTTATTATATAAAATGGGATGCGCCCAAATATGGTTCTCAGGCCCAGCCCAAAAACATGCTTTCTTATTAGCAAAGGAAAAGTAAATAATTTCTGAATCAAAAATAAAAATGAAATAAAACTTCAACCTCTGTAAACGCATTTAAAAAATAATGAATATTGAATTTTATAAATAAACTTTGAAATTATTTCCTTTTAAAATAGTTTTTATTTTTTTATTTTTAAAAACTAAAATATTTTTTTATCACTATTTCATCAAAATTAGAATATTAAAACTGATAAAAGATATTTAATATTTTTTCATTAATAAAAATAAATTGATATTTTATATAATTAAATTTTGTAATAATTAATTTTAAATATATAATTTAAATTATAATTGACTTATAAAAAATAAATTTTAATCTATAAATTATATTTTAAATTTATGTAACCAAAGACTAAGTTATTCCACTTCTCTCGATCTTAAATCAAAATCATAATATAAACCACTCACCCTTGCGTACATATATAACTTTTTTTTTTTGATATTGATAAAATTATGTTAAAAATTTTATGCTTGCTAATTATTTCATAAAAAAATTTAATTATTGTTAATTACTTTCTTATCATTTTGTTGTTTTCATTCATTTTGTTTATTTATTTTTTCATTTAATTTAATTTTAACATATTTACTTTTTGTCATAAAAATTTATTTTGAAGTATATGTTTGTCCCTTGTTATTTGAATTTTATTTAAAATGTTTACTTTAATTTTATTTCTTATTACTTTATATTATGTAATGTGATTGTCTGATATTTTACATCATATCAGAATTTCCCAAATATTATAAATAATAAAAATTAAGATATTTTAGAAAAATAAATATTTTTATTAACTTAAGTGAAGAAATTTAAATGAAGCATACATGGTTATTATTACTACACATTTTTAATTATTTTTACGTTAACTATGTTTATATATATAGAAGAATCTTAAGCTTAAACTAAACAACACAAAGTCATATTTACAAAGAATAAAAATAAATATAAATCTATTATAAATAATATTATACTATAATATGTTTACTATATACAGTAAAGATTTTAACCTCTTAATTTTTTTTTTCTATCATCCTATCTTTGAACTTTTTTTTCTCACCTGAAACAAAAGTCTCCTAGTTCATGATGGAGAGTGGTGGAGCGCACAAATCCACGATTACACATTTAAAAACGTAAAAAATAAAAAATAAAAATTATGAGGATTAATTATAGTTTTCGCGTTATATAATAAATAAAATCGCTGATTTAGGATGTAATCAATTATGATTAAGGAAATAATGTGTAATATTTTTTAATTTACATTTCCTTTTTTCCTTTTTGAATATTATAATAATAATAATTAATTAAAATATCAAAATAGTTAATAATAAATAAATTTACTTTACTTTTCATTTATTTTGTTTATTTTTTTATCCAAACTAAAAGTGGATATGAAGTGGACTTTGGGAGCATAAAAAAAGCATGTGAAAAGACAAATTCGAGGATTCCTTGAACTTTCTTATTTCCGAATCAAATAAAATTGATCGAAATTCTCTCAAATAACATTTTTATTTTCTAAAATTAAAATATTAGGTACCTCCCATAACTCCCCGAGACCACAAAAGTTTAAGAACAGATTAACATCAGACCTTTAAAATAGAAATTAAGCAAATTTAAAATTAGAGAATGCAAAATCTGAATGACATACAAATAGGTTGCGATATTTAAATTTTTCTATCACCTCAGAAGTAATCGAACAAATAAAGGGGGCATGACAAGTTAAACAAATGGAAGTATCAATTTTAAGAGTAAGATGATTAATATGAGCCACTAAATTACTAATTACAATTACAAATTGAATCCTCCTATTGAGCATAGTGTCCTTCTCTATCATACAAAAACTCAGCTATTGATATGAAGCTTCATTATAGTTTAATGAAGAACCAAGCAGGACAAACCAATTTTGTCCTTCTGAGAGTTTTGAAGAGTTTAATGCTATTTAAAAAAGAATGAATTTAGAGAATTGCCACAATAATCAATTGTAGACTTTATTCCTGTCATCAAAATTTTCATTGAAAAACCATTCCCAATGTATAGTTGCCAACGGTCAGCCATGTCAACAAGATTAATTGCCAATGAGCAGTAAATTTCTTCACTCCAAATGCAAACTTTTTTTCATATGCTCATAAACCATGTAGGTGATGCTTGCTGACGGTACAACCTTAAGTAAGTTTGGAAATATTCCTTTGTAGAGTCCCCTAAAGCCTTCATTTTCCAAGGTTTTCCTGAACACATCAGCCATTCCCTTATAAGAGCGTTGAGCCTGCATTCTGAAATGACATGGGTTTCATTTTCTAATTTCCATAGAAAGAAAAACTGTTTCAGTTACTACATATTTAAGCAACAATTTAAAACACATTACTGCCAAAATTACCTTGTTCTAACCACCTGTAGTGGGTAAACGCATGTTGCTCCAAGAGCTCCAGATACAGTCCCACATCCTAATTGCACCAGAGGGCCAGGTTCTACATAATACCACAAAATCTAAATACAAAGTTGAAGGCTATAACTGATACGGAACATCACATGTGAATAACTTTTTTATTTTACCTCCATCGTGAACAAAATACTGCTTGGACATATCCTTCAAGGTTTCATAAGCAGCAAGATCTATGCCAGCATAAGGGATAATCCCAAGAAGAGAAGGAATCAATCCCCTATAAAATGCCCGGGGTCCTTCCTGAAGCCAAATATCTTTTGAAAGGGTCCCAAGACTAGGAATTCTTCTACTTTCACAAGAATAGGTTTGTAGTCGCGTTTTAACGAGATCCATGGGATATATTGCAGTTTGAGCTATAGCACCAGCTATACCACCAGCTAGTAGACGGCCCATAGCTCCAATATCACCCTTTGTATCTTCCCCTCTGGCCCTCCCAATGAAGGTCTTCAACATCTCATAGCTATAAAATCTAATGGCACTCTCAGGGGCAACTTTAAAAACATTTAAGCCATTCCCTCTAAAAAATCCTAACAAACCGCCCTCTTTCCATATAGCTTTGATCGCAGGCATTATATGAGCCCGTGTTGTTTGGACTTGCAATACAACCTTTAGACGATCAAGTGGTGCAGTTGCTGTGCGTGATGTAGCACCTGCTACTCCTCCTGCAATCAAATACCTACTTGCATGAATTTGCTTACTCATTCCTGCCGGAATAACAGACTGTTCCCCAATATCAACCATACATATGCGCTCCAAATAATGGTAAATGTTCTCGATGGTTGCCTCATGAGGGTAAAGCAACAGAAAATCCCTCCATTCTTCAAATGTTATAACACCATTATTATCCTTATCAACATGATCAACAAAACGGGCGAGTTCATCGTCATCAATCTTAATCCCTACAGTAGAAAGACTAGAGCGACTTATTGAATGAACAACAACCAAAATGGATTGCAAAATCAAGAAAATCTTAGTCACGACACATCAATAATTCACTAAATAATTAGACACCTCCAATCTAAATTCAACATTTCCAATCAGATATAGAGGGCTTATATTGTGTTAAGTTGCCCGTCAAATAACGAGGGCTTAGCAATAAAGTTGAACTTCAATTTATGTTGTTGTACTCAGTTGTAAATACCGATCAAAAGAATCTAAAATCAGATAAACCAGATAGTCAATAAGACTACATGCAAGGGAAAGGTTATTTTAATAGGTGATTTTCATTTTCCTTATCCTTTTCCTTTCCAGTTCAATTTTGGACAACGCAACAAAAGCATTACAGGAGAGCAAATCTTGTAGTTAAATTGCATCATTAGGAAGAGATGTGCCAAAAAGTTCTACGTTCTCACTATCACAACAAATCTAATCAAGAGTTGAGGACACCTCTGAATTTTTCACAAATTTCAAAGAAGATGCAAATAGCCAAGTATGAGAGGCACCTGTGACTTGAGATGAACATCATTAGATGATAACATATACCACTATTTTAACCAGTCAAACACTCAAACCATGGCAGTCAAATTTTTTCCGTAAGGAGCATTTAATATCCTCTATCAGATTTTAAGGTATCATATATTTATTATTTTAAAAATAACAAGTATTAATAAAAACAATTGTTTTCAAATCAATAAGAAATCTCCAACCCCCTCACATTTAGAACTAGATAACATAATTTGTCAATGATATAATTAATTACAACAGTATGATGATGAGTAATCTATACTAAGTTCAACTACAATCACTACTACAATAAGCTCGAATATTATTTTAGTATTCTGAGTTAAGTCCAACTAAAACTCAAAAGCAGCTCGTAAACTAAAGTGAGAGTAACCTCTACTCACACTATTTTGGTTGTGTCAGTGGTGGACATGGATTTACAACAACAATTTACACAAAATAAGAGTGAATATACAATAAAATGAACAATTTTGTTAAACAGAAGAAACATGCCTGCTTTTACAAGTGCCTCCCAAAGCTCCTCCGGCAAAATGCAGCCATTGTGCGCAACATCGATGGCCTGAAAAATGCGATAAAGCTCCAACTCCTTGTCGTCCATGTACCTCTTGAACTCTTGGAAATCCACTCTCCCATCCTTGTTGGCATCGCAAGCGTTCAACAAATCCTTCGCGTACTTGTACTCCGGCGGAATCTGAAGCGCCGAGAGACCCGCCTCGATGTGCTTGTAGTCCAAGAACCCGCGATTCTCCCCGTCGAAGAAATCGAAGAGGCCCTGAATCCGCACCTCACGCGCCTCCTTCGTCTCCTGTGAAGCCAGAAGCACGTGATCCATCGTCACAGGTGACGCCTTCTTCATCGCAATTCTGAACAAAGAAAGAAAAAACGAAAACAAAAATAAATAAAAATAAGAACGAGTGATTTTGAATGTGGAAAATGGAAAGAAAGGAATTGAATTTAATAGGGATCGAATGAACGAGAGAATAAGAGCATGCGTGCGTTTTGCTTTAACCTCGGGAGGGGATTAAATGAAACGCGGAAACGACCGTGGGAAGACGTAAACGACGGGAAGAGACTCTGTCGTTTCAGGAATTACGGTTTCATGAGTGCGGTTGTTACCGGCGGCAATGAGTGCGGTCGCCGGCGATGTTGCCCGACACGTTGAAGAACTCGCACATCGTCGTCACGGTAAAGAGCTTATGCATCTTCGAGAAGAATTATTAAACACAAATATAAATAAATAATAGATAATAAATAAGTGAATTTATGATGTGATTGAATCTGATTACTGAGTGAGACGTAGAAAATTTTGGCATGTGGAAGGTTTCTTTCTTTTTTATTTTTATCTTTTTTTATGTTTTTCCCTCTTTCTTTTTAATCTAATGTTTCTTTGCTTTTTCTTTGGTATTGGTTTTGGCACGTTTGGTGGCTGCGCGTTGAACACATGGTAGTTGGGATTTTTGTGGCCTAACAAATCATAATGATATTTTTGGTTAGAAGATAATAAAGTTTGATTAATGTTAATATAGTTTTAGATACTGAAAGAATAAAAATCAATTATGTTTTTTTTTTTAAATGAATAACATGTAATGTGCAAGAGAAGCTTTTTTTATTATTATTATTTTGTTTGATGTGAACTTGCAAGAGAAGCTAGTCAATGAATAACATTAAACATTTTTTAATTATTGTATTTAATTTTATTCGTTATAGTGTAATTATTTTTTGTACATTTATACTTACTTATAATTTATATGACTAGTTTGAGGTTTCAATATTATATATTTTAAGAAGGTTTATCACTCAATAAAAATATAAATATGTAAAGAATTTTTTTGTTATTTATGTTGTTATTTCTTAAATTTTTTTAATGCTCACTTAGACAGAGAGGAAATAAAAATAGAGAAAAAATATTAAAAAATTGAATAAGGAACAAAATTGAGTTCGCTATTTGGTAGAATAAAAGTAGGTAACAAATATTATTAAAAAAATAATTAAACTTAATTAATTTGATAACGTCTCTTTGATTTTAACAACTAAAACACGAGGAAATAAAAATACCAATAAAATAAATTGATAAAAAATAAGTAAGAAATAAAATAAAATACTAATTATTTGGTAGGTAAAAATAGGTAAGAAATGCAACAAATTATTGAAATTATGTAATTTGATGGAAAATCATCTATTTAGAGGATATAATACCCTCATTTTATACAACAGAATTTATATATACAGAGGTGAAATAATAATTATATTTTCTAAAATTTTATTCACCATCTTCTATTATTTCCCTTTTTATTATAATCAAAATTCATTATTTTTCTCCATTTTCAACCTGCCTTTCTACCAAACAAAACTTTTTTTTTAGTTTCATGCAAACTTTTTTATTTTTTAATTTGATCCTCAGTTCTTCGTAATTTAATAACTAAAGTTAAAAGTAATTTATATATATATATATATATATAAGAATCGATGATAACATATCATTAAAGTTTTAAATTTTAATTATAATGTCACCAATTTCACTATTAAATATAGTACATTTACTAACAAAATAAGTTATTATCATAAAATAAGACTTTAATCATCAATCTCTATGATAAAATAATTGACCATCAACATGAACATTTCAACAGTACTGGTGACCTCCTTCCACACCCCTCGTTCAATCCACACAATATAACAGAATTCACTAAAATGAGTTAAATATATTTGTATTTTATTGACATGGGTGAAATGTTTTATAAAAGAGTTAAAGTGTAGTATAACGTAAAACAATTTTGTAATAATAAAATTAAAATTGTATTACGACTTTAGTTTTTTTAATAATTAAATTAATTTTATTAAATAAATATATTATTTACAAAATTAATAATTTATTTATTATTATATATTTATATTATAAAATATTATTTTATATAAATTTTGTATAAATAATACAAGTATAAATTTTATAAAATATTTTGTATAAACATTGAATTTGTTTTAGAAAACATTATTTTAATTTTTTTTAAATCGTGTAACGTAACACGATTAAAAAAAATCGTATTTTAACATTTTTGGTAATTTTTAAAAAATTTGACTCATATAAATAAAATGCAAATATTTGTAATCATTAAAAAAACTCAATATGGAATAATAAAGTCACCATTTTTTTTTGTTATATTTCAATTTCTTCCATTCACTCATTTTTAGAAGTTTTGTTTTAATAATAAATGGTATGAGAATTAATATTTTATAATTTTGATTTATATTTTAAGTTTTTATAAAAAAAAACTTATTTTATTGTGAAAACTCAATTTCTTATTATTGTATTTTTTTTTAACTTAGTATTTTGTATACAACTCAATCTTAATTTTAAAAAGGTTTGAACACTATCATATTAATAATACTCTTTATATATATATATATATATATATATATATATATATATATATATATATATATATATATATATATATATATATATATATAAATAGTTAGAGATTTTTAGGGAGTTTAGTTTTATTTTGTGAAATGAAAATTTAAAAAACCTTATTTTAACTAATATGCATGATCACCCAAAATTATTAAAAACAATAAATTTATTAATAATAAAAGAAAGTAAAATATTTTATACTAATAAGCATATTTTAAAGAAAAAGAAGTATGTGTAACTAATATTGAACACAAATTTGAAAAATAATTAAATTTAACATAAATTTATTTTCTATTAACTAAATTAACTTATTTCATGAATTAGCTAATTGACTAGAATAAAAAAAATTGTTTATTATTAAACTATTTGTTAATGCATTTCTTTTGTTGAATGCAATAACTTCTTTGTATTGATTCGAAAAACCAGAATGAAGATGATACAGACAGGATATATACGTCACTGAAAAATTTATCATATTTACCTTTTAAATAAAATAATTATTGAATTATTGGTAAGTGTACCAAAATTATCAATCAAAGTATAGTATTTCGATTAAATAAAAGTCGATCCCACGATGAACAGTTTCAATGAAAATTCTCAATTATTTACTTACTAAGTGAATTAAAACAAATTAGATTTTGCATAAAGAGTTGAATTGAAATTAAATATAAAAGAATTGTAAATTGTTGAGAAAATATCAATTAAAGGCGCTTCGGATTGATTTCCTTCCTTATGCATTTTTTGTAATGACTATGTTAATTAAAAACGTTAAGTAACCTAATAATGTTGATGTCACCTACTCAAATCATCCATGTTGATTCCTCACACATTAAATTCATAAGAAAACCTAATAAAAGTTGATTTTTCATACAATTAAGATATTTTCTAGCATTAGGTTTAGGAAATTAAACAATTGATACATTCATTTCATTCTCGGTAATTAACATAACAAATATTCTTACTGTGATCTAGGGTTCAAGATATATTTTCCAATCATATTCCAAACATCAAGAATAAATCATTCCAAAGTACAAAGTATAAGAATAACAATATCAAAACATAGATTAATATTTCAAAATATTACCATGATACAAAAGAGTTCAAAGGAAGTGTACCAAATCCCAAGCGAATGAAGTTAGTCACTCATGTTGGTCATTACAATGCTCCAAATGAGGAAGAAATGAAGAATTGATGAAGATTGGACGAAATCCTAGCAGTAATCGCGCCTCTTCTCCTCAAAACCGCTTACCCCTTCTCAAAACTCGTCTTATATTTTTATAGGAGAAATTGGGTTTTTGGGTTTCGCATCTTTCGCTCAAGCGACAATACTCGCTCAGTGAAAATTTCCTATTTTCGCTCAAGCGACAAATCGCTCGCTTGAGCGAGCGAGCTCTAGAGACGAATAACTAATATTCGCTCAAGCGAGAGTCTATCTCACTCGAGTGACTTCCATGCTAAAAATCTTCTTCCTCCTTTTAGTTTTGCTCCAATTATGTTGACAAGTATGCTCCTTATTCTTATATCAAGGTATTCTCGATTTCATCCTACATTGGAAGAAAAATAAATTAGAATTAACATAAATTAAGTGATTTCATAACAATTCAAAGTATAATTATATCAATTTTTTACCACTTTAACAATAATATAGAAAAGGAGAAGAAAGAATAGGGTATGAACTAGCCTAGACATATATATATATATATATATATATATATATATATATATATATATATATATATATATATATACATTGAAGATACTAAAATGTCACTAATTCTCAATTTACATGGTTTATAAATTATTTTTACTTCGACTCTAACACTCATAAAAGATTGAGTGACAAGTACATTAAGCATAGTGTTAGAATCGCGCAGCGGAATGTTCGCGTGGTCGGACAAAAACCAAGAGGGGGGTGAATTGGTTTCTTAATAAAAATTAGGTTTTCAAAATTTTCCCCAAATTTTACCGATTAAAAACTGTGTAAATGTAAATAGAGAAAGGATAGAAATCTTACACAGGAGATTTATACTGGTTCGGATCAAAAGACCCTACGTCCAATTGCTAATCACTCAACAGAGGATTAACGCTGTCACTATAAACAAATTGTTACAATACAAATTACAATGGAAGAGATAAAGTAAAAGATAACACCTCTCTTGAAACCCACAAGAGATGAAGAACAGCTTTCCCCAGAGACGGCACAACACACAATCCACTAAGAACTCCACTTAGTGATTCTTATCGCTTCTAGCCCACACCAGGTTCAGAAAGCCCCCTTTCCTTGCAACAAACAGTTCTCTGGCACTCACAGCACTTAACTTTTGTATGGAAAATGTTGTTCTATTTTTCTGAGTGTCAAAGCAGAGTTTAAGTAGGGAAATTAGGGTTTAGGAATTGGGGATTTCGAAACTAGGGTTCTTGGTAATTGGATTTTCGAAAATAGG